GTAAACTGGCAATTTCAGGATGTAAACAAAAACCTTGACCTTCGTCCTGCACTGATGTTCCGTGAAGGTCAAAGGCAGGCCGTGAAGGCCGTGACTATTTTTAGCCTCACTTTACCTGGAAAAGAAAATCAAACAGTTGAAAAGGCTAGATCAAGCCAACTACATCCAAAATACACTCTCCCTACTACTTAGCCCTAAAATTTAACCGAACGATTACCATAATCCCGTCCCTAGCCTTAGCGCTAAACCTGATCGTAACCCTAATCCTGACTTTACTTCGCTGTTTTTGTTAGGTTTAGTGATAGAATTAGGGTCACTTTGCAATCGACAGGGACGGGTTTGTGTAGTTATATTCTAGTTAACGAAGCATATTGGGGCATCCCTTAAATAACGACACTCCTAGTAGATGGAGTTCGACTTTTGACAGATCAATAACTAACTATACCTAATGTTGGTTGGACCAGCTCAGTTTATAGACCAATTTTAGAAAGAAATCGCGGTTTCGGGTTGAGATTTCAACTGTTAAAAAGAGAGTTAAGAAGGCAGTGGCTTAACAGATCAGCAGTGGGCCCGTGGACATTAAAGGCCTGTGGGCGCATTGGCCAATATCGCCTCCCATCGACCGGCCAAAGCAGCAGCGTAGCGAGGGGGGGGGGCGGAGGGGGGACATATGTCCCCGGGCGCCGACCTTAGGGGGGGCGCCAAATTGAAAGTTTGAGGGGGGGTGCAAATGAAAAGTTCGAGGGGGGGGGTGCAAATCGAAAGTTCGATGGGGGGGGGGGGTGCAAATCGAAAGTTTGAGGGGGGGGGTGCAAATGAAAAGTTCGAGGGGGGGTGCAAATCGAAAATTTGCTCTCGAGGGGGCGCCAAATTGGAAGTATGTCCCCGGGCGCCGGGAAGGGTCGCTACGCCTCTGGGCCAAAGTCCAAAGCTTTACTTCATTTCGGCCTTTGGCCGGCAAATCCGCGGACTTGCCATGATGGACCGGCCAAAGTCTGAACTGGCTCTTGATTTCGGCCGTTGGCCGGCCCATCCGCAGACTGGCCATGGTGGACCGGCCAGTCCGAACATGAAAGATCACCGGGCTAGGGACGACTGGTCAAAGTCCGAATTAGAAGATCATGAGCAGATTTTGTTTTTTTTTTATACCGTAAGGATCATAAAAATTAAGTCTTTGTTGATTATTATTGAGAATTACATTGTTATTTTTACACTTGCAGCGATTTGTTGTGTACTAAGTTGTGCAATTGCAGCAAATGTAGCCTTGGCCGCCAGTCAGTGATTGTGAAGATGCGATGTTTCGTAGAGATTTTCCTCAGTGCCAACGAGCGACAATGAGAGCAGGTTTTCGTGAAGAATTGAAAACTCACTTCTAGCCAGTGGCGTAGCCAGGATCGTCTCAAGGGGGGGGGTTCCAATTTTTACCCGGGGACAAACTTTCGATTTGCACCCCCCCCCCCCTCAAACTTTCGATTTGCACCCCCCCCCCCCCTCAAACTTTCGATTTGCACCCCCCTCAAACTTTCGATTTGCACCCCCCCCCTCAAACTTTCGATTTGCACCCCCCTCAAACTTTCGATTTGCACCCCCCCCCCCTCAAACTTTCGATTTGCACCCCCCCCTCAAACTTTCGATTTGCACCCCCCTCAAACTTTCGATTTGCAACCCCCCCCCCCCCTCATACTTTTTATATATACCGAGGGGTCTATGGGGGGGGGTGTGACCCCCCCTAACCCCCCCCCCTGCCTACGCCACTGCTTCTAGCATACCGTTGTTTTGGAATACCATGTTCCGTTCCTAGCTTGTTCCTAGCGCTCTCGACGCTCATGACAACTGCAAAGACGCTTCGGGGATCACTGCGACCTATGTCAACATCTGGAATACGGATGCGACCAGTAACTTTCACTTCAGCTTGTTTAAATTTTGTTGGCATCTTAGCACCTTGAGTTTGTAAGCTAGCATGAGCTGCTGACCTGTTGTCCATGGTTTCTTGTGTTTTATGACATATTCTGAAAGTAATGTTCCCTCCATACTCTTCGTCTGCTTCATTGGCTATTCCACATATAGCATGGACATTGTTGCCACAGGATCCACAAGAATGGGCTGCACTACAATATTTTTCACAAACTACACAGAATCTGTTGGCCTTATTATTGTCACGCAGCTGGTCTGGACGTTGCGCCACGGCTGCAGATGTGTTAGCTGCGGATGTCGTTGCATTTATGGCAACCTCCATTTCTTGTTCAATGTTCTCAAGATCTTCCTCAGTAGCTAAATTATCGAGAGCCTCTTTCTGTAGATTTGAAATGCTAAGTCCTACTTTTGCTTTGCGTCCAAATATGGTTTCGTATGGCGATTGTTGGATTCCTTGATGAAAATTACGGTTTTTCATAAATTGAATGAATTTAAGACTCTCAGCCCAATATTCATGTGTCTTCATCCTTGTCATCATCATGTTTTCAACATCTTAGTTGGCACGTTCTATTGAACATTCGCTTTGGCTATGCCTTGGAAGTTTTCTGTGAACTAGTTTAAGTTCATGCCACATGTTCTTTAGTTCAGAAATAACTTGATTCACAAATTCCTTTCCATTAGGATTTGGATTATTTTTATTTTGGTAGCCATCTAGTATGTCTGTCGCTTGATCTGACGGCCCTTTTGGTCCATGTCGCATTGCATATAGAATGCTGTACAACTTTAACAAGCAAGAGCCAAACTATACGTCTCAAAATGAAACCGCACCCATATTAATGAAAACACTATCACTGCTTAGTCTAGATAGGGCATTGGCCAGAACATCCCGGCCAGTGCGCGCATTGGCCGGCCAATAGACAAAATACGCTGTCAAGTTTAAGCGCTTCGGACTTTGCCAGTACGTCCCGGCCAGTGCGCGCATTGGCCGGCCAATGTACGAAATTCGCTCTTAGTGCCAAGTTCTTCGGGCTTTGGCCAAGATAGCCGGCCAGTGCGCACATAGGCCGCCCAATACGGGCTTTGGCCGCACTTCGGACTTTGACCGTAACATATATATATATATATATATATATATATATATATATATATATATATATATATATATATATATATATATATATATATATATATATATATATATATATATATATATATATATATATATATATATATATATAACTTGCTTCCTCCGTCGGGCTTTTTTACTTTCTCGTATATACGAAGTATAGAGAAAGTCTTGTAATCGTGCAAAAAAAAATCGAGATTTTTGCAAATCTTGACGTTTTACACATCAGTGATACGGAAAAACAAAATTTTGCAATCTTGTCCGTATGTCTGTGTGTCTGTGTGTCTGTGTGTCAACACGATAACTTGAGTACCGTTACAGCTAGGTTGATGAAATTTCATATATTAGTATTTTATCAAAATCGTAGATCCCTATCAACTTTTGAGCGATTTCCGATAACCGGAAGTGGAACTGTTTCTACTTTGAATTTTTCAAAAGCCTATAACTAGAGTACAATTTCAGATGGATAAATGAAATTTCACATGTAAGTAAAAGATCTAATTCTCTGCCTTCTATCAAATTTTGAGTAATTTCCGTTGACCGGAAGTAATAATTTTTGCTATTTCCGATTTCTCAAAAAAACGCATGTGAATTTATAAAGTACTAATAATATTCCGCACTATTTTGCACATTTTATATGACGTTCACTTGGTGTGCAATTCTTTTTTCTACGAGATTTTATTCTATTTAAAAAAGTTTAAGTATTTAAAATGGATTAAAAGTCATGTCTATATCCCGAGTTGCCATTCCCTGTTGTTTCATATAAGAATATTCGAGAAAGTTTAGGGGAGATAACTCCCGGCTTATTTTCAGTACTTTACAATTTTTAATAAAATCGAGTTTCATGACCAAAAATTATTGCGCACCGAATTAACATGAAAATGCGCGTATAATAGTGTGGAATAATACTAGCCCCCCCCCCCTACATTATTTAGACATTTTTAATTAATTCATAAAAAATTAATTAGGCATCCAAGTAAGTCAAACTTGATGTCAAATTGCATTGTCATCGGGTCTTAACCTTCGTGCCAAGTTTGGAACGGTTACAAGTGCTTGAAATTTTGCTCGGCAGTTTTGATCTATGATGAACCATGACAGAGGAAGCAAGTTAAATAAAAGCTTGTAAAAAGAATTGCGCACCAAATGAACAGCAAACAATGTGTTTATAATAGTGAAGAAAGTTATTACTTTTAAAAAAAACATGATCCTTTTTTAATGAGTTACTTAATTATCTGATTACGTAACATTTTATTTCAATATACGTTGTCTTCCAGTTTTGACCTACGTGAAAAGTTTAAAATTAACCGGTCCGGTAAAACTGTTTAAAATTTTGGTGGGAAGTTTCCGCCCAAGACGGACACTAGATAGTTAAATAAATCTTTATGGTTCTTTGAGAAATTAGAAATAGCGTAAAGTACTACTTCCGGTGAACGGAATTCACTCAAAATTGAAAAAAAAAACCAAGAGAATACGATCTTTTAATCGGTCAGAAATTGCAATCAACAAAAAGCATAAAAGTCAGCACACATTATTTTGTTTTTGACTACTTCATCTGCCCCATGTAAGAATGGGGAAAAATGATGTATCTGTCATTTTCAAATCTTACCCAAGTACTTCATTATTTGCAGAATCAATGAGAGTAGTTCCGATTGGTTATCATGAAAGAGTTATGTGCGTTTTAACAGATTTGAAAACATTTCAAATGAACTTTTTTGTTGTTTTATATTTGCTACTTAATTTTTGTTAATATTAACATGGTTATTGACCATCAATATCTTCCATACACTGTACTTGACATTAGGCCCCACTGCAGGTTATATTTGCCTGCCTAACCTTACAATACAACTCACTGTATAGCTCAATAACATCATCATACAGCGAGAACAACATCATCAAATAAACACATCCAACCAAATGCTGTTGAAGTCAAACATCATACTCTGACTCAAGATAAAGTAACTCAAAAATGTAAACATTTATTAAAGAATAAGCAACAAAACAATTTTTCTAAAGACAAATGACTATGATAATAAAGTGTCATGAACTTATAGCATTATAAAAAAGTCAATAAAATAAAAAACAAAAGCTTGTGATGATATTCATAGTATAAATGTTATATTTTTGTACTTTAAACAGGCACTTAAAGTTGTATTTGTGACTTATCATTTACAGGCATAACAATAGGCAATTACATTTCCTTGACCTACACTGTTTGCGTTAATTTGTATTGTTTTATCACAAAATATTTCAATAACAAAATATTTATTCAGAAATTTTAAAATCTTTATACACCTTATTCCCATAAATTAATCATTTAAGATTTTATGTTAAAATTGTCTAGAACTAGCAGAACCGTATAATATTAATGATTAACGTAATGAAAATATCAGTACATCATGAGTTTTACATCCCAATACCACAAGTTATAAAAAGCAAAATCACAAACTCTCAAGTGGAAGTATGAGTTATAAAAAAGACATCTGGCATGATGTAATAATAATTACCACTTATTCAAAATAGAAACTGTTTGGCAAGATGGGTAATTTATAAGTTCCAGAAAATACCATGATATAACGTAATATAAGTTTGTTGGTTTAATATTAAAAAGAGTATAATTTACTTTTCAAAGAGTATTTTTAAATATGCTAATGTCATAAAGTAACATATAGAGTATTAAACATCAGAAAAAGAGATGCAGTATTTTAATTGATTGTTAATTTTTTATATAATGTTTGGCATTTTAAATATGTAAAGATGTGGTTTCATAGCTAAATAGTAGTTATCATCAAAAACGTGACACAATAAAACAATATCAGAATGTTTACCTTTTAGCTGCTTGATTTATATCACATTTTGTGCTACGTTAATGTAACAAACATAAAAAGTTATCAAATACTAATGAAAATAAATTAGTTGTGGAAATTTTTACCCAATGGAAACCTATTCTACAAACATTTTTCTCTAAATGTGTGGGAATATTTACTGGATGAAAAACCATATACAAAGATACCCTTTGCCAGCCTACTATAAAACACCACATTGTAACTCTCCCATCTACCTCAACATGCCCCCCCACCTGCTCCCTTTGTTAAATTCAAATTTAATTTGATCTGTCAAGGCAGTGTGTGTTAATGTGAACCCTGGGCACAGTGTTGTGTGTTCAAGTGAACCCCACAACCAATCTGTGTGAACCCTGATGATGAAGCTGAGTGTGAAAGGTTACAGTGAAATGTATCTAACGCAAATTATGCTACCCACATGGGCCAACAATTAATAATGAAGTTAAACATATAAATTTCTATTCAGCGGCTACACCAAAAATATGGGTTGTACCATACTATACAAATGGCATGATTTATCTCCATTCAAACAAAAAGTAAATTTTACTAAATATTATAAATGAAAAGTATTTCACTATATGAAATTCATTTCTTTTGATAGCATAAAAAGGTTTGTTTAAAATTTAATTCAGAGCAGACCCACTATCGTTTATTTTTTTTGTGACTTAATCAGAACTGGTAGTTTCTTATTCATTAAAAACATAAGCTGGGCCACAAAGAAAATTTAACAAATTTATTTCAGGTTTCTGTGTTAGGATCATTTTTATTATAACTCTTACTGAATTTAAGGTTAACACTATATTGCCCAATGGACCAAAACTACCTTTTTATTTAATTTACCTACACCACATACAGTAAAATGTGTATGACCACAACCTTTTTTTAGCTCAAAGTGTAACAAATCAAACAGATAACAATATAAATATTTTCCACCATATTTTTAAAATAATATGCTTTGTAAAAATCAATAAAAATGTACCCCTTGTTCATCACTATTTCGATGGTATTTAATTTTAATCTCACAAACACAATAATTTTAAAGTTTAAAGTTAAAGAATGGATGAAATAATAAAAAATGTTTTTAAAAAAAAAGAAAAAAGTTTTTTAAAAAATTGCATCCTTATTAAGAATTTGATTAAACATTACTTGCTGAACTTTGAAATGTTACGAAATGAAAATATGTTGCATCTACTTGTCAATGTCATAAATGTAAGTAGTAGTTTGATAAAATATCAGTAATTGTTTACATTTTATATTTTGCTCAATAATAAATTTGGCATTATGTGAGGTTAATTAAAATGTTAACGATAATACACAACTTTACAAGTGATAATACCTCTCATGTTTAGGCTAGTTTTTAATTTACAAAAGTTACCCCATATGGAAAGAAAAAAATGTTAATGATAAAATTGGTAACCAAATAAATTCCATTCACATAGTTTGTGTTTGTTTCTTCTCTTTGTCCTTCTCTTCAGCTTTGTTGCTCCTCAGCAACGCATAGGTCACTGCTATGGTAACCAGGGATGCAATGCCAGTAGCTACACCAGTCAGAAATGTGTCCACCTATGATACAGTATTTTAAAAATCCATTTTAATTGTAAAAGATTAAATTGTTCCCTAAAAATGATATACTTATTATCAGATATTATTTAAAAACTTAATACTTATTATCAGATATTATTTTAAAAAATAAAACTTATCATCAGGTATTTTTTAAAAACATAATACTTATTATAATATATTATTTAAAAATGTAATACTTATTATCACATATTATTTAACAACATAATACTTATAACAGGGTTCGTACTACTTTTTCAAAATGAAATTCCAGACTTTTCCCAGACATTTTCCATACTTTTTTGGAAAAATTCCAGACTTTATACAGATAATGTGTTCGCGAATAATTTATAAAATGATGCACCATTTGTACTCTCATAATTACTTGTACTAAATTGACATTTATTTTAGGCAGTTGAGATATATTTATATTGAACTTTCTTTAGCCAAATTGACAGAAAATCACTTTTCTAGATTGCCTACTCAACTCCACCTAAAGTTTTAACAATTAAAATAATTGATTAAAATGATGCAGCCATTTTGTTTTAAACATTAGACTTATGTTATCTGTTCATGATCAAAATGCTTATGTTTTCAATTAAACTATCATTAAAATGGTATTGCATAATAGTGAGAGTTAATTACTTTAAAGAATACTAACGTAATGTATTAATTTAGGCCTGCTCTTGTTAAGTAGCCTAATATAGGCTACTTGTAAAGAAAAAAATTGGAGCAAAAAAAAAAAAACATTCTGCAGGTTGTAACCACATCACTCACTGTTTATGCTTATACACTTATACTACTTATAGCTGAGGAACGGGTCTGCAATAAAAAAAAAGTGCCGGTATCCTCCTCCCCCCCCCCCCCCCCCCCCACAACCACAAGACACGGTGAAGGGGTCATTGTGAGGTCATAGTGGTCTAGGCTTCAGTATGCCTGTTTAATACGTCATACCATGAACTGAGATGTGACTTATACCCCCCACCCTCCTTACCCAGCAGTACCAACTACAAACTTGGGGTCATGGTGAGTTCACACAAGTGACCGTAGTTACAAGAAGGGGCGGGGTAGTCTAGCTTTAATCGTCAGCATTGAAATCTAAGCTTGTGTTTTAAAAACCATCCCAGCGTGTAAAGAAAACACGGTATTTATATCACCCTAACATTATTGCAATAGCGTGTCGTCACACTTTATAAAACCCTCCTCCCGACTTTTCCGAGTGTGACGTCATTTATGGACGACTGAAGCAAACAGAAATACGGGTATGAACCCAAGGAGGCCTCGCGACTTATTAATCTTATAAATGTTAATATTAACCCAAAGTAAGTGAACGCGTGTGGAAGGGGGAGGGGGGGGGGGGGGGTTAAAATCCGAAATTTCTTTGGATGTCATAAACGGATGACCCTCAGAGACAAATAAATTATATCTAAACTACCATTCATACACCTCCCACATAATTTTTTTGTTATGACTGTCTGCGTGCAAACTTAAACAATGAAAAATAGCGGGTAAAATCGAGAGCCTAACAATTCTGAAGGCGATCATTCTTTCATTAAATTTAAATGACAATTTTAAATACTTGTAACACATTCACACGGTCAGTCGCAACACAAAATATCTCTTCCCTCCCTTCCCCTCCTCTTCCAATGAGTATCTGAGCATCCATTTTTTTCTGCGAACCAGCGAAAAAAATCACAACAGTGTAAACCCGCGCGAAAGCGCGGGGAAAAAAAGCGGAGTAATTTCACCTAAAAATAGCAATTTTTTAACTTGGAAAATATGGACTTCGGAGTTTTGTTTCTAAAACTGGATTCCAGACTTTTTCCAGACTTTTAAAAAATCCAGCCCAAAAACTAGCGATTTTCCAGACTTTTTTAAGTCTTAAATTCACTTTTCTAAATTCAAGACTTTTTCCAGACTTTCCAGACTGCGTACGAACCCTGTTATAATTACATATTATTTAAAAACAATACTTATTATCTGATATTATTTAAAAAATAAAACTTATTATCAGGTATTTTTTAAAAACATAATACTTATTATAACATATTATTTAAAAATATAATACTTATTATCACATATTATTTAACAACATAATACTTATAATCACATATTATTTAAAAACATAATACTTATTATCACATATTATTATCAAAGGATAATTTCTTATTATTGAAAGATTTGCTATAATAATATGAGAAAATATCTCATGAATAAAACAACTCAAGACAAGATGTCCAGATGTTTTGTCACCATTAAATTATTGCAGTAAGATATCTACAATATCTACAATACGATTACTTCAGAAGCTTCCTGACATATGCACAAGCCAAAACTACTATCTTTCACTCAGATATGCCATAGTTACGCAATTATTACGTAGGGCCAACATATTTTCAAAGGTCATGACACCACAATGCCTACATATTTTCAAAGGTCATGACACCACAATGCCTACATATTTTCAAAGGTCATGACACCACAATGCCTACATATTTTCAAAGGTCATGACACCACAATGCCTACATATTTTCAAAGGCCATGACACCACAATGTCAACATATTTTCAAAGGTCATGACACCACAATGCCAACATATTTTCAAAGGTCATGACACCACAATGCCTACATATTTTCAAAGGTCATGACACCACAATGCCTACATATTTTCAAAGGTCATGACACCACAATGCCTACATATTTTCAAAGGTCATGACACCACAATGCCTACATATTTTCAAAGGTCATGACACCACAATGCCTACATATTTTCAAAGGTCATGACACTACAATGTCAACATATTTTCAAAGGTCCTGACACTACAATGCCTACATATTTTCAAAGGTCATGACACTACAATGTCAACATATTTTCAAAGGTCATGACACTACAATGCCTACATATTTTTAAAGGTCCTGACACTACAATGCCTACATATTTTCAAAGGTCATGACACTACAATGCCTACATATTTTCAAAAGTCACGACACCACAATGCCTACATACTAAACTACCTGTTCGCTCTTTGAAACACCATATCTGCACCAGTTGACAAAATGTTCACAGTTCCCGTACAGCAGGCTGTAGCCTTCTTCTCCAATTTTCGCTGTTGCGTTTGCAATAATTTCTGCTACTTCAAGTGGGCTACAACAAAAGTTTATTTAAAAACATTTATTTTTAAATTTATTTTAAATAAGGACAAATTAACCAAGCAGAAAAAGAATGAAAAGAAGTAGTAGCGAGGTCAAATCAATCAGCATTATATAAGAATATAAATATAAAATACAATTAAGAAACTGGAAAAAAAATTGTATAAAAAATTCTCCTTTGTTCTTAATTTTTATTGTTGGAAGGGATCCCTTCTTTCACAACTAAGTCTACGTGTCAACTGGACATGTGCCATTGAGGCCATTGATGTTTCAACCATAGGCCTTCCTTCGAATGTACCATAAACATTAAAAACTACTCTAAAAAATCTTGTCCAACTTTTGTTTGACAGACAAAACGACGACACTTCATTAAATTTATAATGTGGTTTGTACAATTTAAATGATAGATCTATTAAAATTGCATCGCAAAAATTAAGCAAGATTATAGGTGCAATAATACTTTATTAATAAAAACATGTTTGTGATCTAAACAAAAAGAATATACCTGCATTTTTTATCTCGTGAGTTATTGATGCATGCCTTATCTTCTAAGACAATATCCCAAAAATCGTCAACAGTGACTCTCGCTTTGTTGAATGTCTTCCCACAGATCGTAAACAAATGCTCTGGCTTGACTTGAGCATTGATCCCATCGTCATTTTCTCCCGCAAGATGAACTACTTTACCCTCACCTGTTCAACATAAGACAAATTATTTTGCTACTGCATTCAGGCAATTAGCATGATGAAACAGAGACCAAAATTATAAAAAAAAAAAAAATAAGCTAATCAATAAAAAATTAAAATGCCAATACCTGGTATTAAGGACAACAATTTTTAGAACAATTTTTTTTCAAAGCCCCATGGACTTTTATAAAAATGACTTACCAATGTAGAGACCCCAATGAGAGTAGATTCCACGTTTAAACTCAATTCTGTCGCCTGGCCGTAGTTTATTGAATGTATCAAGATTATGTGAGTAATTGGACACCGCCATTTGTTATTCTAGACTATAGTCATAGATAGACTATGGCATTTAAAAAAAATTTTAAATCTGGAAATGAAAAAAATAAAACAGGTTTTTATGGTACAAACCTTGTGCAGCGTCGAAACGGCCAATGACAAAACAGCCCCGACATAAGAGCCCCATTAAATTGACCCCGTCAAAAGGGCCAGCGACATATGGACCCAGTCATATAGACAGTTTTTCCACAAAGCGGCCCTCGTCATTACCGTAAATTACGACTCCCGAAAAATAGGCTCCCGTTATTTTGGCTCACGACAAATAGGCTTATGTCAATTTGGCTCCCAACTAAAAGGCCACTGAAAATACGGTTTCTGTAGAGACTACATCTCTCAGCAAAACGGGCTCATTGAATATGACATCTGCTAGTGGGACCCCTTCATCAATATTCTTTAGAGTTAGCTTATCCAACACTCTTAAGTAATACAACGTATGCATCTCTTGTTCGGCAGGCCTTATTTTTATAATAGTTTATTTATTACAAGAAATAGTATCTATGACTTCCATAAATGAGTCAGTTCCAGGCTTAGTGTGTGGGGAGAGGGGTCCACGCTGTACATTCCTACCTGCAGTATGCTTGTAGGTTATCAAAACAAAATGCCATTCTCCTGTAAACATCATGTATATATCATACATTTACACTTCTGTGCTCGCTTTTTAGCAACAGATCTTTACTGTTGTAAATTAAACATTATCAAAACTTTAGAATCGGTGGAATTTAGCTGTTAAGGGCTTGATTTGTTTTTGAATTGATGTTAGTTCCTGAAAAACAATTTCATTTAGATATTTAAAAGAGGTTATAGTGGTAGTGGACGTAGGACAAAATGGTTACTTTTATGCCAATAGTGGTCATGCCATTCATTAGTCTGGAGCCAAAATGTCGGGAGTCATTTTGTCGGAAGCCAATATGTCGGGAGCCCAATTATCGGGAGCAAATAAGTCGGGAGCCCATTTATCGGTAGACAATATGTTGTGAGCCCATTTGACGGAAGCCCATTTGTTGTGAGCCCTTATGTCGGAAGTCCATTTGTCGGGAGCCTAAGTGTGGGGAGCCCATTTTTTGGGAGCCTATATGTTGCAAGTCAATATGATGGGAGCCTATTTGACTGGAGCCAATAAGTCAATCCCTTTTGACGGGGCTATTTTGACTGGGTCGTTTTGTCGGGGTCATATTAACGGGGTCGAATTTCCCAGGCCATTTGACACGGCAACTACAAACCTTATTAATTCTAATCTTATGCCTCTACCTACTCTAAAGTAAAGTTTAAAAGTAGCCTAAGATTATAATAATTACTAATATTATTTAGCTAATAGTTATTTAAAAGTCTTAAATAGATCTATATGATAATCTATCGTTTTAGGTGCATAAAATAAGTCGAGGCTATTAATGTGCGAATACGTAGCCTCATTGGTAAGGCTTTAATAGAAGTGTATTGATTATTGATATGTATTTGTGTCAAATTTTATTGATAACTGAATAATAAACCAAAATCAATGGCTAAATAATAAATAAATTATATCAATATAATATAATAATAATAGGCCAGAAATCAACTTTAAACAGCAGTGTTTGCGAGCAAGATTTTTATAACTTTCAAAGCATAAATCCACCTAAAAATGTGAAATAATTAGGCCTACTGAAATTTATTGAGTCACCTTTTTTTCACATTATTAGTAGATTTCTAGCAGTAGTAGTATTAGTGTATTAGCCTCGGCCGATTTTACGTAGATCTAGATCTACGTCCTAAAAAGATATTATAGATCTAGATTACCGTCCAAGATTTAAATATTAAAAAATACTTTAAAATAGGCCTACTATACTATTTTTTAGTACATTATTCATTTCATTATTATAATAGTATTTACCTCTATCTATAATAAAACTAATTATGTTCGGTAGAATCTAGGAGCTTTCCATTGATTTTGGAATGTCTCAAGTAAATCTAGATCTAGATCTAGATCTAGATCTAGTAATAATTCTTGTTGATTCGGAACGTAGCCCAAACTACTAGCCTATCCAGGATTTTCTAGAAATAGATTATGTTGTCATGAGTAATGTTTTGACGATTTTTTGCGGGACAGCCCGAAAATTATTTTTATCTTTCGACTTCTAAATTTAGATACGGTGCTTTTTTATTTTGTAATCCGTAATATAGATCTATATAGTCACTTCGAAAATGATTTTGTACTCTTTTTTTTTTATTGAAGTAGATCTAAATACGTTGTCGGTTTTAGACATAAATAATTAATCATTTATAATTTAAAATCAAAAACTAATTTAATAGCCTAAAACGTGTGTAGATTAATAAACATCTGACCGTTTGTAGTTTATATTAGGCCTATAGAGAAAATGTTATAAAATTAATGTGTAATTAATTTGAAGAAACACCGCATGTTGCAATATAATAATGTTGCATCACGAAAATGCAACACGATTCGATAGTACTAGATCTAGGCCTAGTTAGTAGATCTAGAATAGATCTAGAATCTAGATCTAGAGATCTAGATCTAATTCTAGTTCGTAAATGAGTCGTGAATAATCAATTCGTAATAATTATATTTAATAACTACTCGGACTAATAACTAGATCTAGATCTATATAATTGTTATTGTATAGTTGTATCTCAATACCCGGTATACCGTGCCGTATAAATATATTAAATAATAGTCGGTAATCTATCGTTTTGGGTACGTAAAATCGCCCGCGATTTGTAATGTGAAAAACAGGTGACTCCTTAAATTTTAATAATTATTTCACATTTTGAGGAAGATTTATGTTTTAAAAAATTCAAAAATGTTTCCTTGATTCATTTATGTACCTGTTTTTAATTTTTAAACAATTGAATTAAAACTTTTCCGTAATAAATGAAGACTAGCGATGTTTCCAACAGATGCAACTATGCTCATTTACTATAGCAGCCATCTTGTCTAAGTTTTATTTTTATAAGCTTTTAGCGCCAGATTCAGGGGGAAGTCACTCTATTTTACAAATGGCTGCTGTTTATATAGCAAATCTTGCTCTCAGACACTGCTGTTTAAAGTTAATTTCTGGCCTATATTGATATATTTAGCCATTGATTTAGGTTTATTATTCATTTATCTATAATATTTGACACAAAAGTATGACAATATACTTCTATTAAAGCCTTGACAATGAGGTAACGTTTTCGTACATAAATAGCCGCGGGCGATTTTACGTACCCAAAACGATAGATTACCTAATAGTCGTATGCAGTGGCGTGCAGAGGGGGGGGAGGGGGGGGGGGGGCCCAGGCCCCGGGCATCCACCACTAAGGGGCATCCAGCGGAGGTAAAAAAAAAAAAATTTAATTAATTAGTTAATTTTTTTTTTTTTTTTTTTTTTTTTTTTTTTAGTAATTTAAAAACTGTTGTGATATGTCGTGTCATAGTGTCATCTTAACTTTCCATATGTTTTGCGATCTCACTCAAAAAAATTGTAACACTCAATCGTCTGTCAGCCGATTTAACATTACACTGTCCGTATGGCAAAACTTATATAGAAACAGCGGGCATCAGTGAAGGGTAGTCCTACGGAAGTCAATGATATTCCATTAATAAATGTGTGTCATATTTATTTAGTATAGTGTAGGGGCATCGTTTAGAGTACTTGTGACCAAGTTATTCCCATGCACTGTATTAGGGCATCTTTAAAGTAATATGCGCGTATTCGTTATACTCATTTTCAAGGACATCCGTTGAGTAATTAAATCATATTTATTTTTATACACTATAGGGGCATCTTTAAAGTAATTATTCGTATATTCATTATAATATATTTTATGAGCATTTACTAATATGCCCACTTCACTTTATAATACATTTTAATGGCATCCATACAGTAAGTACGCCCATCTTCATTTTATATATTGTAGGGGCATCTTGAAAGTAATTAAGCTTATATTCATGTATTACACTCGAAGGACATGCAACAGTAATTACACCAATCATCGTTGTTAACATTGGGGGCATCTCTAAAGCTATTTTTTAATGTACTTCTTCATTATTATCCATTTTAAGGGCATCCAAAGGGTAATTATGCCCATATTATTATTATAAATTTTTGGGGCATCTTTGGTGAAATATATGGCCGTTTGCAGTGTAATAACTTTTTTTTGTTAAATTGTATGGGCAGCATTCAGTGGCGTAGCTAGGATTTTCGGTCCCCTATGCAAAAATTAACAATGTTAATGTTAGTCGCCCGCTCTCCCCCACACTGAATGCCACTGCCTGTACACTAAGAAAGGACTTGGGGCCTTTTTTAAATTAAATTATTTCTACAGTAGAAAAAAAAAACTTGATTTCATTAATTTTTTAAAAATTATTTATATAAAATAAATATCAAAATTCCAATGTAAAAGTTTTAACTTTTTAAAAGAAGGAAAATGGCCCCTATTTGCCTTGGGCCCCTATGCCTTGCTTACTCTAGCTTTACGGTAGCTAAGCCACTGACAGCCATTAGTATATTTTTTTTTTCATGCATTATATAAGCATACTTAAGAATAAGAATGCCCATATAATGTTTTTGATACACTGTAGCGACAATCTTAAGAATACGAATCAACATATTGTTTTCGATACATTGTAATGATATCATTCAGAATAATTGCGCCCATATTGATTTTTACAAATAGGAGGAGCATGCTTTAAGTAGTGTTAAAGTTAAAGTTTTTAACTCTGAGTAGAGCTTTCTTTAAAGTAATTGGGAGCACATGCAGAGCCAGTTTTATTTCAGTTAATAGTAGAGCTATCTATAGAGTTATTGAGCCCATAATGATGTAATGAAATGTGGGGATGCGGTGTGGGTTTTTAGGTTATGAAAGCCGTTAGTGGATTATCCCCCACCTGAACTAGACAGATGTACTTAGGTGTTAAATTTGTGAAAACGCGTCCAAGCCTAGGGAGGGTCTGACATAGCATAGTGGATTTTTAAACACAGTCCGATTTAGAAATGTTTTTTTAAGCTGGCAGCTTTAGTGGTCATCCATTTATGACATCCACACGGGGGGGGGGGGGGGGTCCGAAAAAAATTGACTTTTGTGGACGCGTGTGGACAGGGGGAGGGGGGGTTGGCCCAATGTGGACGTCCACACATTAAATCTAACATTATTTTTGGTAGTGTGAAAGAAAAATATTTCCTAGCGAAGCTAAAGTTCAACTATCCTATCTCTCTGGCCCTTTAACCACCCAGCTTGGGTCTATGCCCTGGCTTAACCTGGAATACAATAAGATATCCAATTACAAGTTTCCCACATTTGCATCCCAGGTCAAATACCAGGCGACCACTTCTCTAGGTAGGCGGGGTCATCCCAGTTCAGTTGTGAGATGGGAGAGGGGTGGAGGGGGGGGGGGGTTAGCACGCTGTCCCTGTTCAGGTGTGGGACACGAAGGACAATAAAACACATTTGTACCAGTATTTGTAATACTATATACACTCAGAGTATATACACACTAAATGCAGTAGCTTGAGTAATAGTGGAAGAAGATTATGCAAAAACTTATAGTCAGTGTGGACGTCCACGGGATGGGGGGGGGGGGGGGGGTCCGTCAAAAGTGGACGTTTGTGGACAGGGAAGAGGGGGGGGGGGGTCCAAAATCCCAAAAATGTGTGGACGTCATAAATGGATGACCCCTTAGCCAACCAAGGTACACTTCTGTTATATTCAAGGTTAAGATAGTTTGAGAGTATCTAGCTAGCATCACCCATCTCTTTAAAGAGTTGACGTTTTGACCAAGTGGTTTAGAGAGAAAAATCTGAAACATCTCTAGTTCAATGCACACTCTCACCTGTATTAGTTACACTATAGGAATTCCTAAACAGGCCAAGAGAGAAACATCCCATTAATAAAGGCATATCTGTCGCCCTAATTGCAGACACAGACAGCGTTTTTGTCCCTGCGGTCCTGGGTGGTAATACAATACCGGATGAGACTCTTTTGTAGTGCATCACAGCCCCCCCCCCCCTCCCCACCACGACCCGTCCCGCAATTGTCTCCCCCCCCCCTTCTCCCAAGTTCCAACCATTCATTCCATTTGGATTTAGTTGGCTGTAGTCAACGTTTTCATCTCAATTAAGATAAGTACATTTTTTTAAATAAATTATATATATATATATATATATATATATATATATATATATATATATATATATATATATATATATATATATATATAAGTATTTATGGGGGCATCTTCCGCTTGATTTTGCCCCGGGCATCTACATAGGTCTGCACGCCACTGGTCGTATGCCGTACCGTATGACGTATAACAGTGTAGTGTAATGAGTCTATACATGTAGTATTAGTATAGTATAGTAAATAGTAATGTAGGCCTATACTATAGTATAGTATAGGCCTACTTTTTATTTAGAAGTGCACCGTGCCTAACACGTTGATCTATTCTATAGTATTCTATAGTATATAGATCTAGGCCTACTATAGCCTATATAAAGTATATATATATATATATATATATATATATATATATATATATATATATATATATATAGGCCTATATATATATATATATAATTATAGCCTATATATATATATATATATATATATATATATATATATATATATATATATATATATATATATATATATATATATATATATATATATAGGCCCTATACATTAATATATATAATAATATATATATAGGCCTATATATTTTTATAGGCCTACAATAAATGAATAATACTAGCCACTAGACTAAATTATTAAAATTAGGCTAAATATTTTAAATTTTTTAATATAGGGCCCTAGTAGGCTTAGATCATAATCAGTGATAATGTAGTTAGTATTAGTTAGTATAGAAAAATAGTTAGTTTTACTAGTTATAACTAGTTAGTCGTTAGAGGAGAGGTAGGCCTATAGGCCCTAGTCACGCCCTAGTGGCATATGTGTACTTAAGTGTAATACTACTAATGTACTATGTAACTATACTATGAGTATTATTAATACTAATAGTATAGCCTATAGGGCAGGCCTATATAATTATAGTCTTATTATAGATCTAGTTAAATCTAGTAAATACTAAATAGTGAACTATTAGGCCTATAGTAATTATAGTGTACGAGCCAACCCGCGGTGTATCATACGCCGCTATTTAGTTGTTGTTTTTTTCTACTTTTCAGTAATTCATAATTTGTGAATTCGACAGTACCAATGCTGCCACTGAAAATATTTGTTTTAAAACACTAAAACCCTCCTTTTCACCAACCCCCCCCCCCCCCTCCTCGTGAAAGAAGCCTCCTCTTAGTTACCTCCCCTAAGTTTAAAATCGTTTCAAACTAAATGTAATCACAGCAATGTAAAGGCTTTTAACAACTTTATAGGGCCATTTCATTATAAGACCTATTTACGATTATAATTATACTAGCTGCATACCCGAGCTCCGCCACGGTGTATCTTTTTTAAATGTAGCAACTTGGGAACAGAACAAAACTAAACACAAACGCTTATATCCGTTCTTCGCCACGATGTGGATATGGACATTACCTCAGAGTTTACCACACTGCGTGCCAGTGTGGGTACCTGCTTTGGGCTGAATATTCCTACAGCGCACCGGCGCGCGGGTAGCTTATACCCGTGCTTCGTCATGGTGTGGATATGGGTATTACCTCAAAGTTTACCTCGCTGCGCGTGTATGGGGGTCCCCGCATTGGGGAGATTATTCCTTTAGCGAACAGCGCGGGTGTCGGTAGCACTTTAGTGCGAATATGGATATTCACGAAAATGAAGCTACGGTAAAAAAAATTGAGAGCCAACGCTCTCACGAAAGTCCACCCAGACATCTTTCCTCCCTGAACCCAAAGCGCCATTTAAAGCGCAGCGGAAAGACACGTTTACCCGGCCATCCGCGCCCAGAGAGAGACTTCCTAAATCTATAGCGACGATGGACTAACACACTACCAGCCTGCTTATATAATAGATTATCACATGGCTTAAATCATTAAATACTAAATCATTATTAGAATGAATAGTCCTACAGAAATCTAGATCTAGTTACTTACAGTGAATGACATGAGTGTTGTCAGTGAATAGAATAGTGTTAGCTTGTACTGTTGTAATGTTATGACTGCCCTACTAATAATTTCTAATTAGACTAGACATCTAGACTTTAAAATTTTTATTACTGAAGTATTATCTAGTCTAACTCTACTACTCTAGGCCTAATAATTTTATTTCTAATTTATTTCAGTTTTAATGGAGAAATTCAGATGTTTTAGTTTGCCAGCTTTTTTACCCATGAAAGTAAAATCATATTATTTGGAAAAGCTTAGGCTACCTAGGTCATTTTTTTATATTTTTATAAAGCAGAAGCCAGTTTCAAAACAACTAGCCAACCACAAACTAATATTTGATTTAGCTGAGCGGAAAAACAAAAATGATCAAGATTCTAACCAACAATGTGTGACTGAAATCTCAGAGCCAGCAGGACAAAGAGTTATTAAAGATGCTCATCACAAAACTTACACTACTGTCGTCCAAATCAATCAACATTTAAATTTAGGTCTAGGCTTATTGACAACAGTTTACTTAGGCCTTCTGAAAATGGCAAGTGATGCTTTCATAGCTTTTACCTCAACAACTGCTGAAACTTTAAAGAACAAAAAAGTTAATGATTGGGATTTAGCATGCAACACCAATAATAATGAGGACTTTACAAAGAAATATCTGGTAGGCTTGTGATAAAAATTTTATTTTCCTAACACCAAGCTACTTATTTCAGCATTCAGCCAGATGGTTAGACCCTCTACCCAGACATCACTTATTATAATTAAAATTAATATTAATTTGATGCAGATTTTTAATAAGTATTGCTTCCCTAAGCAGGCTGGTGTGTGCATTTCCATATTTTGCCCTAAAGCTTCAAGAGGCCAGACTTGCTTCACATTGATAATGGCTGTGAATGTGATAATAAATTTAAATAGTGACTACTAATGTCTTATTGGTGTGATTGAATACCAAATAATTATATTTTGATAATTGCTCATATCTAGGTCTAAGTTATTTTTGTTTTTATTTTTACTAAAACAATACATTTTATTTTATTAACAGATAGTTGGCTTGGGTAACCATGGATACCCCAACACAAGACACAGCATTGGTATGAGAGCAGTGGACAGATTCGCAGAAAATTTCGGGGTGACATTGTCGTACAACAAACAGTATGGAGGATTTGCTAATTCAACTACAGTTGATGATACTAAGCTAGTTCTATTCAAGCCAAAAGCTTTGATGAATATAAATGGTATCAGTGTAGCTAAGACAGGTAAAAACAATGTTGGTGCTTGCTTGTTAAATGCCAGAAAAGACAGTGATAAAAACTGGCATTTTTTAATTCCTAAAGTAGAAATTAGGCAACTTCAGATTCTCTATTCACAGAAATGTTAGGGTTAGTTTTTGGTTTGGTATCATGAGATCTGAGTTACTGATTTGAGATAGACAACTGTATAAACTTTCATCATTACTCAGGTTTAACACGAACGTAAGCTCTAGTTTTTACTATACAAACTGTTTCTAATCATTTTCCGCTTCACCTTTCTGTTATTTCTTGTGGTGTACAAAAGATACCGTTACTAAGTTTTTACTGACATTTTTGTCTGTAAATAGATCAAATACTCTATTTTTACAGAGTTTATCTATTTTAATGATAAATAAGCAGCCTTACAAAACTCTTTTCCCTTCACTGACACTTACTTTGTTTCTTCAATACTTATTTACCTTTGCAGCAAAGCTGTTATCAATTTGTCCAAGTAACATCTACTTAATCCATGATGAATTAGATAAAGTCCCTGGGAAATTTCATATAAAAGAAGGAGGAAGTGCAGGGTATGTTGAATATACTTAGAAGAAATTATATTAGTCTATGGATATAAAATATTCATTATACAAGGTGTATGCAAAAAATGCTAGTATTTCCTGTTCGTTTATTCATCATTGTTGTGTAGTGTCGTATTAATCTTTTTCCCCCCAGACAGGAATAAATAAGTTATGTTAAGACATCAAGTAGCTGACACAATGCAGTTTTAATGGAGTTTAAGCAAAAAGTTTGCTCATTGTTTTTTTCAACAATGTATTGGTAGATACAATACATCATTACATTGGCCTATACATCATTACATGAAGCATTATAACATTCCACAGGCCTATACATCATTAAACTGGTCTACACATCATTACATACATGATTACACTAGCCTAGACTTAGTGGCACTGGCTTATACCATCATTACGTGGACCTATGCATCATTAATAACAGATTTCCTCCTTATATATAATATATATTTGTAGAGTGTTGTTTGTAATGTACTGTGTGTTGTAATAATAAAACAAAGTGTCTGGTCTGGATATATGTATGGGGCAAAGAATAGCCTTAATGCAGTGTTGTGGGAAGATATTCTAAGACCAGTTTTTATTTTTTCAGCCCTATGCTAGAATAATAATTCTATCAGAAACTAAATTTTAAAATTTTTGTATCCTTAGGGGTCATAATGGTGTGCTGTCGTGCATCAGCTCATTACAATCACAAGTAAGTAAATCTAATTCTTTCAACCCTCTCAGTTATATATCAGTAGTTTGTCTTGTGTATGTAAAAATAAGATTTTAAAAAAGCTTTCTCCTGTAACCAAATTTCCCTTTTTTTCTAAAGATCAACAAATTGGTAGGGCTAAGAATTAAAATATACAGGATAATTAGAAACATACATTCCACAACACTTTTTCATAGTGTTTTATGTAAGCTACCTGATGTTTATTTGTATCTAGTGTACTTGTGTAAGTGTATTAAATTAATGTTTTAATCTATTACTATTATGAATTAAATTTTACTTGTGTTGCTATTTTGTAGTTGCAATTATATATTTATAAACTTAAACAAAATTTTGTATAAAATTATTTTGGCATTAAATTTACACAGTTTATTCTTTGCAGAAGATTTGTTCTATTATTTGCTGTTATATTTTATCAGGCAATGAGGCGCCTTAGAATCGGGATAGGTCGTCCTTCATCTAGAAATTTTGTTGTCCCTTATGTGTTGGGCAAATTTTCTAAAGAAGAAGCCGATCTTGTGGCATCTGCTGTAGATCAAGCTCTTGAGGCTCTGCTTCATCACATCAAACAAAGGTCAGCTGGTTCAACCAATCACAGCAGCACATCAATCAGACATAAACCTTTACACCAATCAAAACCTGTCTTACATGATAAACATAAACCTTTACACCAATCAAAACCTGTCTTACATGATAAACACCCCAGCCAAGAGACAGAGGAACCTGAGTGTTGTAACACATCCATCAATAACTGTCAACAAACAGAAGAAACCAGGATGGAGGCACCCAACAAAGTTAACAGTTGTAACACATCAGATTGCAACCGTGAACCTACACCAGAAAGATGATGTTCATGAATTTAGGATTACAACCGTGAACCTACACTAGAAAGATGATGTTCATGAATTTAGGATTGCAACCGTGAACCTACACCAGAAAGATGATGTTCATGAACTTAGGATTGTAAATGAATACCTCATTAACCTAATTAAAAAATTGTATCAAATTTACTACCTAACCCAAGTTAATCAATTCCTTTGTAAAAACTTGTCTTATAAGACTCAAGTTTCTACAGATCATCAATTCTACAACAACAATGTCTGAAAACAAAACCTTATCTTTATTCACTAGAATACCAAATAGGCTAAGTAGTAAAGTGAAAAGTAAAGTTCCCCTTCCAAACCTGACAGTCTGTGGTACAAGTGAAGTAGAGTTCACCTGTTTCTGTGACCTCTGCATGTGAAGGGATAGTGTGTTCAGCACTATTCCCAGCTGCCTTTACTTCACCTAACGTGAGTTAGGTACCCTTAAGAGCTGACTGAACTCTGGGATGATCTACTGACTTCAACTTGGTTTTGAACTCGAGACTTAAGGGTTAGCAGTCTAGCCGTCTACTGCTAGGCCAATCTGTCCCTAAGTAGCTGCTCATGATATTCTGTATTTCTGATGCATGAAAAAAGCAATTTTCAATCATCTTTGGTGTCACTAACTTTCAGGCAGATTGCAACATACGTAGTAACTTGACAGAGATGGGGAAATCTGTTACATAGATTGCCCTTAAAGCAATTGCTTATTTATAGTAAAAATTTAAGGTCAAGGCTAAATATCATGATCAAAAATTGTAAATGTAAGAAATACTGAATGGTTGGCAGGACCACATTATTAATGTCTTAATTATTTTTAAATTTTTTTTGCTATGTGTTTATAAATCATTTTATATATTGATTTTAAATAGATATACACATATTTAAAAACAAAGTGAGAAAACTGTCATATTGCTATTCCCCCCCCCCCCCCTGCATCTGCCAGTGAGTGATACTCAACAAAACAGAAGTTAGGCTAACAACATGTAGTATGCCCTCTGTAGATGAACACATATTTTAAAAGTATTTTGAGATTTTTTCAAGCCATTGAAAACCATATTACTTAGTTCTTCATTCATGTTTTCAAATCAGAATAATGATCTTAATGAACTAGACCAGAAGTAGCAAAACTATTGAATATCTCATTTTTAAAAGTGTTTGCTCAGCCAGAACAAAGTTAACACTGACACACTCAGAACAAAATTAACACTGACACACTCAGCCAGAACAAAGTTAACACTGACACACTCAGAACAAAACACTGACACACAACAAAATCAACACTGACACACTCAGAACAAAATTAACACTGACACACTCAGAACAAAATTAACACTGACACACTCAGAACAAAATTAACACTGACACACTCAGAACAAAATTAACACTGACACACTCAGAACAAAATCAACACTGACACACTCAGAACAAAATCAACACTGACACACTCAGAACAAAATTAACACTGACACACTCAGAACAAAATCAACACTGACACACTCAGAACAAAATTAACACTGATACGCTCAGAACAAAATTAACACTGATACGCTCAGAACAAAATTAACACTGACACGCTCGGAACAAAATTAACACTGACACGCTCAGAACAAAATTAACACTGACACACTCAGAACAAAATCAACACCGACACGCTCAGAACAAAGTTAACACTGACACGCTCAGAACAAAATTAACACTGACACGCTTAGAACAAAATTAACACTGACACGCTCAGCCAGAACAAAATTAACACTGACACCCTCAGAACAAAATCAACACTGACACACTCAGAACAAAATTAACACTGACACACTCAGAACAAAATCAACACTGACACACTCAGAACAAAATCAACACTGACACACTCAGAACAAAATCAACACTGACACACTCAGAACAAAATTAACACACTCAACCAGAACAAAATTAACACTGACTTACTCAGCCAGAACAAAATTAACACTGACATGCTTAGCCAGAACAAAATTAACACCGACACGCTCAGAACAAAATTAACACTGACACCTATCCATTGTATGGAGACTTTTTCTTGTATAGCGTGATCACACAAGGTTCTGGGTATCTTTAAATTAGGAAGATCATGTACTGTATAAACGTTGCGATTTTAAAAAAGAAATTGAGTAATGACTATGGTGCATCAACAAGAACTGCATACAATATGCAAACAGAAATGTAACTAGGCCTACTTTTTAATGAGACCAATGTGAAAATTACTTCTCTAGGCATGTGCTAGAAGTATTGTAAGTATCTAACTGGCAGTATAGGGAGATTCTTTTATTCAACTTCAGGTTCAATAGTCTTATGCAGATTATTCAACTTCAGATGTAATATACTTATACAGATTATCAACAAGCAAGCTCAATAACAAGTTCAAACAAAAAAAATATCTTAAACATTAGGTTTATTTTTTCAAACAGAACTGAATGTTAAAACTAAGGCGGTGATGGATTTAAAACCTGCTGTTAAGAAACTTGGTGGGGGTGGGTCTGGGTGCTGACCCTGTGGGTGGACGATGTAACTCCTGCACCTGACTCTCTTGGACCTTGGAATACAGCTTGTACTCTGGAATACTGCCACGCATTTGCTGGGAGTAGACGATGGCCTGAAAATAAGGGAATATTTGGTTTTAATTTGTGGCCAGATAATAAGGGAACATTTGGTTTTAATTTGTGGCCAGATAATATGGGACCATATGGTTTTAATTTGTGGCCTGAAAACAAGGGACCATTTGGTTTTAATTTGTGGCCTGAAAACAAGGGAACATTTGGTTTTAATTTGTGGCCAGATAATAAGGGAACATTTGGTTTTAATTTGTGGCCAGATAATAAGGGAACATTTGGTTTTAATTTGTGGCCAGATAAAAAGGGAACATTTGGTTTTAATTTGTGGCCAGATAATAAGGGAACATTTGGTTTTAATTTGTGGCCAGATAATAAGGGAACATTTGGTTTTAATTTGTGGCCAGATAATAAGGGAACATTTGGTTTTAATTTGTGGCCAGATAATAAGGGAACATTTGGTTTTAATTTGTGGCCAGATAAAAAGGGAACATTTGGTTTTAATTTGTGGCCAGATAATAAGGGAACATTTGGTTTTAATTTGTGGCCAGATAAAAAGGGAACATTTGGTTTTAATTTGTGGCCAGATAATAAGGGAACATTTGGTTTTAATTTGTGGCCAGATAATAAGGGAACATTTTGTTTTAATTTGTGGCCAGATAATAAGGGAACTTTTGGTTTTAATTTGTGGCCAGATAAAAAGGGAACATTTGGTTTTAATTTGTGGCCAGATAAAAAGGGAACATTTGGTTTTAATTTGTGGCCAGATAATAAGGGACCATTTGGTTTTAACTTGTGGCCAGATAATATGGGACCATATGGTTTTAATTTGTGGCCAGATAATATGGGACCAATTGGTTTTAATTTGTGGCCAGAAAATATTTGACCATTGGGTTTTAATTTGTGGCCTGAAAATAAAAGTCCATTTCAAATTTTTATTTGAATTACTATGTAATCAAGAGAAACGTCTCTCTTACTTAAAAGCTATTAGACTCCTAGTATGACACATAATGCTTTAATATGATATTAACTTAAAACTATCTCCCCCCTTCACAATGAAAGTTAATACATCAACCAACCGTAGGTGCATTAGCTGTCTGAGTTCCTAAAGATTTACACAAGACTCCACGCAGGGGAGCTAACTCTGACAGCTTGGCAGTATTCTTCATCTTTTGTCTTGGAGTTGCCAAAATCTGATCAGCTCTAGGGGTTAGCCCTAGGTCACCCAGTATATAACGGCCATCTTTTTTTTCTCTGGCTTGTTTTTCTGCGACACTAGAAAATTTTAAAAACCATTAAAATGATTCTTTAACTCTGTATAGCAACTCACTAACATTAGGAAAGTACAGGTAACGTGCTGACCACGCAATCCCTTCTTATGTCGAGGTCACAGAAACAGGTGAACTCTATTTTACCTGCCCTGACAGATAAATAGGCAGTCAAGTTCAAAAGGAAAGTTTATTTACTTTTCATGAGTCAAAGGCCAACCTGTATCTGTTCAGTTTATACATTTATAAATGTACTCATTCATACAACACTAAATGATGTACTTGTTAAATAAAGTATTCTGTATTATAAATACAGAGAACAATTTCAAACACTAAAATGTTTTTATTTAACACACAATGTAGAGAGGACACTGGTAACATTATATAGAAGTGATTAATCACACACAAATCTATTGACTGATCACACACAAATCTATTGATTAATCACACATAAATCTATTGACTGATTACACACAAATCTATTGATTAATCACACACAAATCTATTGACTGATCACACACAAATCTATTGATTAATCACACACAAATCCATCACACACAAATCTATTGACTGATCACACACAAATCTATTGATTAATCACACACAAATCTATTGACTGATCACACACACATCTATTGATTAATCACACACACATCTATTGATTAATCACACACACATCTATTGATTAATCACACACACATCTATTGATCAATCACACACACACATCTATTGATTAATCACACACAAATCTATTGATTAATCAAACACAAATCTATTGACTGATCACACACAAATCCATCACACACAAATCTATTGATTAATTACACACAAATCTATTGATTAATTACACACAAATCTATTGATTAATCACACACACATCTATTGATTAATCACACACAAATCTATTGATTAATCACACACAAATCTATTGATTAATCACACACAAATCCATCACACACAAATCTATTGATTAATCACACACAAATCTATTGATTAATCACACACAAATCTATTGATTAATCACACACACACATCTATTGATTAATCACACACACATCTATTGATTAATCACACACACATCTATTGATTAATCACACACACATCTATTGATTAATCACACACAAATCTATTGATTAATCAAACACAAATCTATTGACTGATCACACACAAATCCATCACACACAAATCTATTGATTAATCACACACAAATCTATTGATTAATCACACACACACATCTATTGATTAATCACACACAAATCTATTGATTAATCACACAAATCTATTGATTAATCACACACAAATCCATCACACACAAATCTATTGATTAATCACACACAAATCTATTGATTAATCACACACAAATCTATTGATTAATCACACACAAATCTATTGACTTATCAAAAAGAAAACCCAGTTACCTCTGATGAGTAACAGTTTTGCGGTTAGGAACAAACGTAAGTGATATTTGCTCAGTTGGAAGGACATCGCGCTTGGCCATCTTAATCCCCATGGCCTGAGAGCTTTTCATGAGAACCACCAGACTCTCCAGCATGTTGTGTTGTATCTTCTCACAATCTGGGGTGTATCTTTCATCAGATGGAACCAGCATCTGTAGCAAATACGTCATCTTTTATGTTACCTCTATGTTCATTTGACACAGGTAATATATAAGACTAGCTGTTGAGGGTCAGTCTGAATTCACTTCTAGATAAGTGAATGTGTGGGTTGTGGCAACTACAAACTGCACTTACAAAATGATTGACTAAAGGCCAAATAATAATAATGGAAGGTAACTATTTAAAGTAGATAAATATTGTATTCCAGTGACATATATCTTCTCTGACATGAATTAAAACAGCTATTGTAGACACTGACATAACCACAACCACTGATATATCCCACAACCACTGACATACACCACATACACCACAACCACTGACATACACAACATATAATACAACCATTGACATACATCACATATAATACAACCACTGACATACAAAACAACCACTGACATACAAAACAACCACTGACATACAAAACAACCACTGACATACAAAACAACCACTGACATACACCACAACCACTGACATACACCACAACCACTGACATACGCCACATACACCACAACCACTGCATACAGCACAACCACTGACATACACCACAACCACTGACATACACCACAACCACTGACATACACCACAACCACTGACATACACCACAACCACTGACATACACCACAACCACTGACATACACCACAACCACTGCATACAGCACAACCACTGACATACACCACAACCACTGACATACGCCACATACACCACAACCACTGCATACAGCACAACCACTGACATACGCCACATACACCACAACCACTGACATACACCACAACCACTGACATACACCACAACCACTGACATACGCCACATACACCACAACCACTGCATACACCACAACCACTGACATACACCACATACACCACAACCACTGACATACACCACAACCACTGACATACACCACAACCACTGACATACACCACAACCACTGACATACACCACAACCACTGACATACACCACAACCACTGACATACACCACAACCACTGACATACGCCACATACACCACAACCACTGCATACACCACAACCACTGACATACACCACATACACCACAACCACTGACATACACCACAACCACTGACATACACCACAACCACTGACATACACCACAACCACTGACATACACCACAACCACTGACATACGCCACATACACCACAACCACTGCATACACCACAACCACTGACATACACCACAACCACTGACATACACCACAACCACTGACATACGCCACAACCACTGACATACACCACAACCACTGCATACACCACAACCACTGACATACACCACAACCACTGACATACACCACAACCACTGACATACACCACAACCACTGACATACACCACAACCACTGACATACACCACAACCACTGACATACACCACAACCACTGACATACGCCACATACACCACAACCACTGCATACACCACAACCACTGCATACAGCACAACCACTGACATACACCACAACCACTGACATACACCACAACCACTGACATACACCACAACCACTGACATACACCACAACCACTGCATACACCACAACCACTGACATACACCACATACACCACAACCACTGACATACACCACAACCACTGACATACACCACAACCACTGACATACACCACAACCACTGACATACACCACAACCACTGACATACGCCACATACACCACAACCACTGACATACACCACAACCACTGCATACACCACAACCACTGACATACACCACATACACCACAACCACTGACATACACCACAACCACTGACATACACCACAACCACTGACATACGCCACATACACCACAACCACTGCATACACCACAACCACTGCATACAGCACAACCACTGACATACACCACAACCACTGACATACACCACAACCACTGACATACACCACATACACCACAACCACTGCATACAGCACAACCACTGACATACGCCACATACACCACAACCACTGACATACACCACAACCACTGCATACAGCACAACCACTGACATACACCACAACCACTGACATACACCACAACCACTGACATACACCACATACACCACAACCACTGACATACACCACATACACCACAACCACTGACATACACCACAACCACTGACATACACCACAACCACTGACATACACCACATACACCACAACCACTGACATACACCACATACACCACAACCACTGACATACGCCACATACACCACAACCACTGACATACACCACAACCACTGACATACACCACATACACCACAACCACTGACATACACCACATACACCACAACCACTGACATACACCACAACCACTGACATACACCATAACCACTGACATACACCACATACACCACAACCACTGACATACACCACATACACCACAACCACTGACATACACCACAACCACTGACATACACCACATACACCACAACCACTGACATACACCACATACACCACAACCACTGACATACACCACAACCACTGACATGTACCCCAACTACAGCTCACCATGACAGATTCCTTGAGTGTATCCACAGCATTAGTGAACAGATACTCATTCTCCTCCCTTGTCTCTGTATCTGTCAGACTGTTCAGCCGCAGCTCCACATTCTCATGCACCAGATCATTCACTCTCTTGGTCAGCTGGTCAATATCTTTCCTGTTGGCAAGCAGAGACAAATAGCTCAGTAATATTGCCAAGAACATCATGATGCCGTAGACCAGCAATGTTCTGGCTAACAATGGAATCACAGAGTTCTTGAATGTTCACCTAAAACACACTTTTTCTAACCATCAGCACAATGCCAGAAATTTATTAACATATTTTTTACTTTGTGTGCATCTTTGATCTTATAAAATATGACTCCTTTTTTCCTTAAGGAGATATGCACCTGGAGAGGTGAATTCCTAAGTATGTGTATCAGGACATTAGATTAAGAAATGATGGGTCACCCATGCAACCCTCTCTCTACTTTGCTGTATAGTCAAGAGGAAAGCTAAGCATTACATTTGGTGCCAGCTTTGGTAGCTGTGGCTGCCTAAAGAATGGCAATCCTATCACCCAATTAGTCTATTCTTCAATCAGGGAGTCTGTGAACTTAATTGCCTAATTACATCATTGACCATGGAGGCAATTGCTTTCTCAACAATTCACACTCTATGACCAATGAGAAAATTGTTTACTTAACCATTCACACTCTAGACCAATAAGAAAATTGTTTACTTAACCATTCACACTCTAGACCAATAAGAAAATTGTTTACTTAACCATTCACACTCTAGACCAATAAGAAAATTGTTTACTTAACCATTCACACTCTAGACCAATAAGAAAATTGTTTACTTAACCATTCACACTCTAGACCAATAAGAAAATTGTTTACTTAACCATTCACACTCTAGACCAATAAGAAAATTGTTTACTTAACCATTCACACTCTAGACCAATAAGAAAATTGTTTACTTAACCATTCACACTCTAGACCAATAAGAAAATTGTTTACTTTAAAACCATAACCTCCACTTGCAGCCGAGAGCACTCTGTTTCATCACCTCTGTGCATAGCGTACTGGCCCTTGAGTTGGGTAATTTGCTCCTGTTGGCTGAAACATTGCTCTCTCAACTTGTTCATTAACTAATAAAGAAAAAAAGTAATAACATATTCATAAAGGTCATAAATTATATTAAAGATACGCTCTGGGATTTAAAAAGTAAAACAAAACAGGTTGTTTTATTAACTCAGTTTGGTTGTACACTGAATAATAAAATTGTTGATTTCTTAAAACCAAACACACAAATCATATTTTTATTCATATTAAGCAAAAAAAAAAAAAAACCTGTCAGATTGTGCTATCAAAAATCTTTAAATTTAACCTTAAAAAGTCCCTAGACCTTCTAGCATCAAGTTGTATCTTCTTAACCCCTAACATAGGGGCGTGTTACTAAAGCCCATTTAAGTGACCAAATTAACTATTGTATAGCTTGCTTCTATGCCAGTTAGCAAAATGTGTATGGTAATATTTGACAATGTGTTAATTAGAAGTAAAATAAATGAAAAAAAAAATCTTGTCATGTGTCTCATTAGACGTAAAATACATAGATTTTATGTTTCTCATTAGAAGTAAAATGCATAGATTTTATTTTGGTTATTATGTTTCTCATTAGAAGAAAAATACATAGATTTTATTTTGGTTATTGTAATGTGTCTCATTAAAAGTAAAATAATTTTATTTTTATTTTAGTTATTGTAATGTGTCCATCAATTAGTTGTAAATATGTAAAATGGTAATGATTTTTTTTGTTAAATGTTTCTTAAAAAAGGTTTCACCTATCTTTTCTCCCACTTTTTCTTTATTTAAAAGTATAAATTAAAAGAACAGAGACAAAGAGATATGTAAATGTTGAGTATATTAAAACAAAACAGAGACAAAGAGATATGTAAATGTTGAGTATATTAAAACAAAACAGAGACAAAGAGATATGTAAATGTTGAGTATATTAAAACAAAACAGAGACAAAGAGATATGTAAATGTTGAGTATATTACAACAAAACAGAGACAAAGAGATATATAAATGTTGAGTATATTAAAACAAAACAGAGACAAAGAGATATGTAAATGTTGAGTATATTAAAACAAAACAGAGACAAAGAGATATGTAAATGTTGAGTATATTAAAACAAAACAGAGACAAAGATATATGTAAATGTTGAGTATATTAAAACAAAACAGAGACAAAGAGATATGTAAATGTTGAGTATATTAAAACAAAACAGAGACAAAGAGATATGTAAATGTTGAGTATATTAAAACAATACAGAGACAAAGAGATATGTAAATGTTGAGTATATTAAAAAAATACAGAGACAAAGAGGTATGAAAATGTTGATTATATTAAAATGCTCACTTTTAAACTGTCTTGATAACGAGCACTCAATTCTTTTTCATTGGACTCCAGCAGTATGATCTTCTGCTCCAACTTGCTGCTGACCGTGTTCTGCTTGTCGTTCTCTTCAATCAGCTCCACAGTCTTGTCTGACATTTTGGCCAGCTGCGCGCTCACCATGATGTTCTCATTCAAAGCTCTTTTGATGGTTGTATTGAGCGTCTTGTCGGTCACCTTGCGGAATTCGCCAGCAACCTTTTTTATCCGAGCTATCATTTCACTTTTTAACCTGTGGGATTTGGAAAATAGGAATCAATTTTTTAAGGAAACTTTTTAAATCATTTTTATAGAAAACCTCACAATTTTTATTATCTGCTATATTACCTTTTTCCTTTAGTTAAATACTGCAAGTGTGTATAATTAACCTAGAACTTATTTTAAAAGCCTGACAATACCTTCATTTATAACAAAAAACAAACAATTTGACAAAATCACTTGACAATAACTTAAGCACAGAACAAACACAGAAAATGGCAGAAAAATCAGACAATACCTCTCTTTATCACATACGAGTTTACGCTCCATATTGGCAATACTTTCTGTATACTCTTCATTTTTTGTTGCCAGCTCCTCTTCGAGCGATTCAAGCTTTGACAACAAACTGTCTCTCTGAAGACGAAACTCTTCCAATGCCATAAGCTTCGAGTCTGAATAGTAATTGAAAAATGTATTAACATTTAATTTACTATGACTGTCAATATACACTGATGATATATTCACTACTGTGGAAAAACAACGTTAAGATAAAATCTCTAAAAAAATCTGGAAAAACATGCAGAATACTTAACAAATTCTCTGCCCAAATTTAACTACATACTTTACAAGAGATTCTTCTGCCGCAATCTAATACATTTAACTAATTTACTGCATCAATCTAACTACATAAAAACTAATTATCTGTCACAACATAACTACACACTTAACAACAGATTATCTGTCACAATCTAACAACATAAAACCTAATTATCTGACACAATCTAACTACATACTTAACAACAAATTCTCTGCCACTATCTACATAAAACCTAATTATCTGCCACAATCTAACTACATACTTAACAACAAATTCTCTGCCACAATTTAACTACATGAAACCTAATTATCTGCCACAATCTAACTATATAAAACCTAATTATCTGCCACAATCTAATTACATAAAACCTAATTATCTGACACAATCTAACTACATACTTAACAACAAATTCTCTGCCACAATCTAACTACATGAAACCTAATTATCTGCCACAATCTAACTATATAAAACCTAATTATCTGCCACAATCTAATTACATAAAACCTAATTATCTGCCACAATCTAACTACATACTTAACAACAAATTCTCTGCCACTATCTACATAACAACTGATTATCTGCCACAATCTAACTACATAAAACCTAATTATCTGCCACACTCTAACTACATACTTAACAACAAATTCTCTGCTACAATCTAACTACATGAAACCTAATTATCTGCCACAATCTAACTATATAAAACCTAATTATCTGCCACAATCTAACTACATACTTAACAAATTCTCTACCACTATCTACATAACAACTGATTATCTGCCACAATCTAACTACATAAAACCTAATTATCTGCCACAATCTAACTATAAAACCTAATTATCTGCCACAATCTAACTACATAAAACCTAATTATCTGCCACAATCTAACTACATAAAACCTAATTATCTGCCACAATCTAACAACATACTTAACAACAAATTCTCTGCCACAATCTAACAACATACTTAACAACAAATTCTCTGCCACAACCTATACATACTTAACAACAAATTCTCTGCCACTATCTACATAAAACCTAATTATCTGCCACAATCTAACTACATAAAACCTACTTATCTGCCACAATCTAACTACATAAAACCTACTTATCTGCCACAATCTAACTACATAAAACCTAATTATCTGCCACAATCTAATTACATAAAACCTAATTATCTGACACAATCTAACTACATAACACCTAATTATCTGCCACAATCTAACTACATAAAACCTAATTATCTGCCACAATCTAACTACATAAAACCTAATTATCTGCCACAATCTAACTACATAAAACCTAATTATCTGCCACAATCTAACTACATAAAACCTAATTATCTGCCACAATCTAACTACATAAAACATAATTATCTGCCACAATCTAACTACATAAAACATAATTATCTGCCACAATCTAACTACATAAAACCTAATTATCTGCCACAATCTAACTACATAACACCTAATTATCTGCCACAATCTAACTACATAAAACCTAATTACCTGCCACAATCTAATTACATAAAACCTAATTATCTGCCACAATCTAACTACATAAAACCTAATTATCTGCCACAATCTAACTACATAACAACTGATTATCTGCAACAATCTAACAACATACTTAACAACAAATTCTCTGCCACTATCTGGCTCTGGTTCTCATCTGCTTCTCTTCTGATCTGCATCATCTGTTTTCTGCACTGTTCTTGTTCATTGTCCAATATTTGTTTTAAAGTTGTATACTTGTCGTTTAAGTCATTGTAAGCATTCGCTAAATTAGCATAGAAAAATCAAATTACAACATATGGGAAGAAATATATGTCGAAAAAATTTTAGGAATCTTAGTCCAGATCAGAATACCTTGGGCAACAGAGTAAAAAGCAATAAGAATAGGACGATGATAACAGTTAATTAGGAACAGGAAAAAGTAAAACTAAATTCATTTAGCATTTGATGTTACATATATAATCTGTCAAAGCATTAACTTCTGTTATATAAAATGTAGATTAAATGTGATTTTAAAAGTAAATCACCACATGAGTTCTAAGGAGAAAAATAATTTTTTTTAATATTTGCAATATTTTAATAAAATGTAAATGACCTTATTTATTAAGCTATTTATGACCTATTTCCTTAAACTTTATTTAGCAAGGTACACACTTAGACCTGGTGGTAAACAGGGCAGATGAAGTAGAGTTAATTTTTCTTTGAACTCTCTGAACTCACAATCATTCCTCCCAAGACACTTTTACATATTTGTGTCAAGAGGCCTTTTAGAAATTAATAGTTCATACATTTTTCTATATTCTACATCAGGGGTCTCCAAACTACGGCCCGCGGGACGGATGCGGCCCTCGAGTGTGTTGTTGGCCACCGACAGTGTTTCTTTCAATTTTTTTTTTCTCTGGGGGGGGGGGGGGGGGGGGGGGCACTTGAAATTAATTTGTATATATTTCTATATAAATTATATTTTATTTGGGGGGGGGGTGGACTTTTTTCGGGGAAGGGGGGGGGGGGGGACGACTCCATAACACCGAAGATATGCCTTGAAGAAACTCTGGCCCCTGAACTGATATCTGATAGTCAATGCGGCCCTCGGTCTGAAAAGTTTTGAGACCCCTGTTCTACATGATGGTTTAAATGCCTAATTATAAGGCGAACAGAAGTAAATTTATTGTGTAAGTAAGTGTATTTATTTCTGACATAACAGAAAAAGTGAAAAATAACTTTAGTTTTTTCAAGCCTACAAGAAGAAAAATACTCAATCTGGTGAAATAGAAAATGTGCTGGCAGTAGACCCACCATTTTCTGCCACCAGTAGGACCTACTGTAGTCAGTAACGATACAAACCCCTATGTTACATCAATTATGGAAAGATACTTCAATCATACACAGGTTAAAAATGCCAGCTATCAACATGTTGAGAAAACTATTTTCACCTTTCATTTCCAGTTGATATTTCCAGAAGTTGATGATGTCATTTTTGTCAGTCATACACTGATCAAGCTTCTCATTAAACTGGGTGCTCGCTACAACAAGCTCATCATTTTGCTTTTGGTACCTAGGAGGAGTTACAAATGTAAGTTTAATTCATCTCTATCTGTAATTGAGCAAACAAAATCAGGGAAATACCTAGTTGTTATAAAATAAATAATCATAAAGGTGTGTTACTTAAATACTTTGTAGCTACACATACAAAATATCTACTAAAAACGCCTATATTATCATTCATAATTATTATTAGGCCTGTATACATAGCACAAATTAAGAGCATGGTTTTTTATCTATAGGAAATAGAAGATAGGTCTAACTAAATCACTCATTATACTCTAGTGAAGTTTAGTCAAACTGTTCTAGAGTAGATCATCAATTTTAGAAACTAGATCTAGTTCTAGTACAGTGTAGTATTCAGGTTTAAATTATATTAAGTTATGATTAATAATTTTTAATAAATAAAATCATACTATAATTTAGGCTTAGAGTGGTACCTCAGGATAAGAGTAAGATTGCTAGTTTGTTAAATTACTCATGCTCAAACCAATTTTCTCCAATAAAATTAATTGAAATGCCATTAGCCTGATCTGTTCCAGCCCCCAAAATGCCATGGAAGATGCTGGTGGAGGTACAGGCCCAGTGTAGGGTGGAGGAGATTCACTTCATTCAATTACTCATTGTTAATGCTAAGCTCTTTCAATCACTCTAATTTACCTACTCATTTTACTTTTACTGCTGCTTTACAGTAGAATTTAAACTTCAGCTAACATAATTGTACCTAAACTACATTATGTTTTGCTACATTCACTAAATTTTCATTGCTAGTTTACTTTTCTCTTCGCAGATCTTTGCTTTTTATGCCACGCTTTCCTTATTTTCCTCATTTTACCACTAAAACCATGAAATAAACCTATCCCAGGAGGCAAGGATATTTGTTTTTCCTCCTTTTTACCCAGAATTTTTCTGAGATAAATAGCTCCAGTGCTGAGTGCACAATTAGAGCAGCTTTTTTGGGGTGTTTCTTATCGACGAATTAATCCGGTTACTCGTAGAATCACTCGTAGATCTAGATCTATCTCATATTTTGCTCTCAGAGCAAATTGTAGATCGCTCAAATTGTAGATTGGACTAGATAGTAGATAGTGTTTAAAAATCTCATACACTCATACACTAAGTTAAAGTAGTAAAGTAGATCTAGTTATAGATCTAGATCTACTAGACTACTAATATCTATATTACTTTTTTATCTAGTCTAGTATGTATTCTAGTTTAGTATTCAGTATTTAGCAGTGGCGTAGCCAGGATCGTCTCAAGGGGGAGGGTTCCAATTTTTACCCGGGGACAAACTTTCGATTTGCACCCCCCCCCCCTCAAACTTTCGATTTGCACCCCCCCCCCTCAAACTTTCGATTTGCACCCCCCCCCTCATACTTTTTCTATATACCGAGGGTTCTATGGGGGGAGGGGTTATGACCCCCCCCCCTGCCTACGCCACTGGTATTTAGTAACTATGTAAGTATTATAATTATAAGTTTATAAGTATTACTGACTTATTAATGTTGTCGATGTTGGACGACTTACTTACAAGTTACTACTAGAATAGTCTAGCTAGCTAGAGTTAACTTAAAATCTAGATATACTTACTTCCAAACTTTGTCCTCTAGGATTTTAATTTGCCACAAGTAAAATTGTTTTGTTGTATCGTCAATTTTCGGTACCGTAGATTTCTTATTTTCTAGTTGTCCTTTTCCTTTACCGCTCTTGCTACTGCCTTTAGATCCCTTTCTTCCTTTTCCTTTTTTCCCCATTTTAAGACACTGCAAACGAACCGGCTATCACTTCCTTCAATATATTGCTTTAAATTTGTTTGTATGAGAGATTTTGAAATTGCAGAATTCAATCGTGCGACGAATGTCTGACAATATTTTCAAATTAGCCATATCGTCGTGCAGGCCCACGGTTGCTAGGGTAAAGTTGTTGGCGGCAAATATTTTTAATTTGACCGATTGGCTAAAATTGTGACAAACATTGTCTAAAATAGATCTAAGCCTATTGCCAAGCAACAGATTACGATTCATTTGCACCTCATTCAGTTCTAATGAAAATATCCTGCTTTCCGTTTCAATCATTAACATTTTGAGTTTATGAGAACTTGATATAGATCTAGAAGTCTAGATCTAGATCTAATATAGCACGATAGGCACACAGAGAAGGGCAAAAGCTTATAGTTATAGAGACTAGTTGACTAGTATGGCACGAGTTTACGAGCTATATTCTATGGACATCAGGCCAACGGGAACTGGACATCAGGCCAACGGGAACTGGGAATCAGGCCAACGGGAACTGGACATCAGGCCAACGGGAACTGGACATCGGGAACTGGACATCAGGCCAACGGGAACTGGACATTATGCCAACGGGAACACTACATCAGACCAACAGTGTCCACTGTTTGACAATTACATCAAACTTTTTAAAAACCACAGCGCCACCACTGGGAAGGAAAATTTTTAATTCACATAGATCTAGATCCGGAAGATTTTTCTCAGACAGAGGCCAACAGAGTTTCTTCCATGCATCTCATCGGGGGACTCCCCCTCCCCCCCTCCCCCTCAATCCCCGAAGAAAGTCTACCTCCTCCCCCTCCTTCCTTTCCCCCGAACGAAATGGAATTGATATAGAAAAAATATATACTTATATAATTTTAACAGTGTCCACTCACCCCCCCTCCGGAAAAATTAGTCCTATATTTTGTCGAGGCGTGTTTATAGTTTTAGTGTCATTAGCCATTTCGCCATCAGTCTACAAGGTCCTTTTACCACACGCACTTAAGTAGCAATTTAATGTTAGCCGTTTTCTTGCTCCAGTTTTTGTCCTGGACAATTTAATGGGGCAACTAATGAAAAATATTAATTTGAAATCTCCAAACTATATAGAACAACCCTCCCCCACCCACACACTCACACAAGTACGCACACACACACACACAAACAAAATAAAATTACGCCAGAAAAAACAGCACACTAGTTTTTTTGTATCCCCTGAAAACATCATGACGTGAATCTTTTTGTGACGATGTGTGACGGAGGGTAGGGGGGGGGGGTAAAAATCGTCAAATAAAGCATGACGTTATATATGGATGACCACCAAGCAGTGATAAAGACAGTGGAGGTCTTTTTTTAATTTTACAGCTATATTCTGGTCACATTTTGTTTACAATTTCAAATTTTTGAAAGTCATAAAAATTCTATATTTTGGAATAAATAAATAAATGAAGTATTATATAGGGCGACATGTGTATATATATATATATATATATATATATATATATATATATATATATATATATATATATATATATATATATATATATATATATATACATCCGCCCTATATAATACTTCATTTATTTATTTTTACATACATTTATATATATTTATATAATGATATATATTTATTTATAAATTCATCATACACCACGACTCTTAGTATTACATGTATGGGCAAAACAATCATACAAGAAAGTTAAAATGTAGATGCTTATTTTTATTCAACCAAATCTTCTGTGAGTAAAACAAAAATTTTTTTCAACCATTCAATTTTAAAATGTTTATTTTCCTTGTGATAAATAATAAGCAGCCTTGTGATGACATGAAATCAGCCGAAAGATTAAAATAGACTAAAAAGTGTTATATTCAATAGGTTTGCTAAAAATTAGGAGAATTCTATTTACAGATGAGAAACAAAATTTAAAAGTGATGTTTTATAAATCTTTAAAATCAAGCTTTGTTTCTACTTCAGCTGGAAGCCTCATAATCCTTGATGTCATAAAAAAAATCTAACTATGTTTTTTTTTTAAACCTGACAAAATCTTTTATTTGTAAAATTGCAAACGTTTGGTTTATCTTAATATCTGAAGTCGAAGCTGTTCCTTTATTGTAGCAAATACACACACACTTATCAAGAAAGGTCAAGAGCACTTTATGAATATAAATCTAACAACACAAATTTGGAAAAGCAGTGCCACATTAAAAGTTTTTCAACATTTTAGTCAATGAAACACAGTAATCAAAATAAATTAGACACATTTTAGAAAGATCTTTTAAAAAGAAACAAAAGGTTTTTAAAAAAGAAACCTATAAGTGAGATTCAAACTATTTGAAATATCAATAACCATTAAGGTTTTTTTTTCTGAAAAGTGCAATTATAGTGTTTTAATGGAGGTTCAAACCATCTGCTTAAGGTTTTTTAGAATGTTTGATCATGTTTTTTAATGTAATTAGCGGGAGAAAATATTTATTTATGAAGACGATCATTGAAATATTTTAATCCACATTGAAACAGGTAAACTCTACTTTACTTGCCCCATGGGCCATCAGGTTCGAGAAGCAACTTTACTTTTATTATTACATTGAATTATATTTACAAAACAATTTTTAAATATAGCACATTTTACAGCAATAATTTACAAAAAAAAACTTTTTGTAGAAATTCAAGAAATAGTGAATCAAAAATGTGTTGAAATATAAGCTAATTTCACAAAAAATGGCAAAAATTGTTTGAGTTGAGTTAAAATAACAAGTTGTTGATATGTTACTTCATGCGAGAATTTGTTTTCTTGCCATCTCACGCCATACTTTCAACAATTTTTTTAGGGACAGGTAATGGGCTGAGTCCAGAAGGTTTTCCTGCACTTGATTGTTTCATTTCATTCATGCTTGGCGCCCCAAAATATTGCGCTGCATACAGTATTGTCTGTGAAACATAATGGGGAATATTTGACATGACATTATCATCATAATCCTTAAAAGAAACGTAAAGAAAATTGAAATTTTAAGGTTAGATTGTGATAAAATTAAGTTCAATTAGCGCAGGTAGATGTGTCATTTATTCATACAGAGAAGCAGTCGTTTAACTTGAGATGGGAAGCAAGATCAGTATTGATCACATTTGCCAGGTACATAAAATCAAAATTGGAACAAAAGAACACCTGTGTTTCAGAATATTTTTTTGTCTAGGGAGGGGGGGGGGGGTTGACAAGGTAGTTCCTACAAGCAAGGGAAGCCTGAAAGAAGCTCTGAACAACAGACATGACAACAGAAAGGATAACCAAAGAAACTGCTGGTGTATTAACTTTAGCAGAGGGTACACACACACATAATTGCACAGCATTGAAACAGAAAAACATGAAGACATGACATCAACAATTGAAACAGAAAAAATATGGAGACATGACAACAACAATTGAAACAGAAAAACATGTAGACATGACATCAACAATTGAAACAGAAAAACATGTAGACATGACATCAACAAAAACCACTTAGAGAAAGAAATAGTACATCTACTCACATTGGCCCCACTGGAGGTCTGTGTAGCCACTGACTTGGAGAGGACGCCACGCAACGTGCCTAGTTTATTTTGTTTTGAGGAAACTTTTATTTTGTCCAAGCTGGTGGGGATTTGCTGGTTTGGTCTTGGTATTAGCCCCAGGTCACCAAGTGAATAATGTGGAAGCGAGCCTTTGATTTCAGGGAAATCTCTACCAAGATAAAAACATCTCAATTAAAATTTATTATAATATTTTAAAAAATTAAATGCCTTACATAATAGTAAAGTTCCCCCTTCCGAACCAGACGGCCTTAGGAGTAAGTGAAGCAGAGGCGTAGCGAGGGGGGGGGGAGGGAACGACACATGTCCCCAGGCGCTGATCTTAGGGGACGGCAAAATGGGTTGGAAAAATAAATTGAAAGGTTGAGGGGGGGGGGGGTGCAAATCGAAAGTTTGAGGGGGGGGAAGGGGGTGCAAATTGAAAGTTTGAGGGGGGGAGGGGGGTGCAAATCGAAAGTTTGTCCCCGGGCACCAGGAAGGGTCGCTACACCTCTGAAGTGAAGTAGAGTTCACCTGTTTCTGTGAATTAAGCATATGCAGGGATAGTGTGGTCGGCACTATGCCCAGGCAACTTTATTTTCCCTAACACAAGTTGGGTACCCATCAGAGCTGGGTGGACAGGGACATTCTACTAACTTGAACCTGGATTTGAACTCGAGACTTATGGGTTAGCAGTCTAGCTCTCTACCGCTAGGCCACTCCGTCCCCCAACATAATGGTACTTTTCGTAATGCTGCCAGTACAGAAAGTGTTTTGTAGATTGCAATAGAAATTGATAAAATAAACTTAATGTTGACCCAGCACAGTGAATATTTTAAAAGAAATAGATTTTTTTTAAGATCAGCAACTTTTAGTGAGGGGGGAAGAACTGTAGTTTGAAGTTGGGATGTCAATTTTAGGAAGGGAATCTGTGGGAGGTAGAAATAATGACACAAAAAAGCATGACATCATTTATAGATGACCCTTAAAATGTCTAACGCATCAAGTAAATTGAAAGAATCACTCTAATAATAGGGCTGGTAATAGGTCACCAACCAGTTCTATCGCTCAATAAAACCTGCATGAGCCATAGAACTGGTTAGTGACCTACTTACCAGCCCTATTACACCTTAATAAACTTAATTTATTAATTATCTCATCAAACAGCCTAATAAAGTTGAGCACACATACTTTTTGGTTATTGGCTTAGATGGACCAGGCAATACGACAGGTGTAGCTTCAGAGTTAGTTTTCCCTAGATCACTTATCTGCGCACCAATGCCAAGATTGGCCGCGCTGTTCATTAGCACCAGCAGGTTCTCCAGCAGGTATTCCCTCTTGTATAGATCTTCAATTCTGTCATCTGGACTGGCATCTGGGTCTTCCTACAAGTTATTTATAAACTATCTTCATCAGCAAAAATTTGAATGTGTTGTATAAGTGATTATGTGTGTAACATAATAATGGTGTTTAAAGATACATGGAGAAATTACATTTTTACTAAACTTGAATTTTTTTTTAAATAAAAGTATTAAAAGGCAACTATTATACACTCATATCAATCACACAGGCTGGTTAACCTCTAACAATTAATATTTCTTCATATGAAATTAGATTTTGCAGATGGATTTTATTTCTAAAAATATTGTAATATTTCATACTAAATTTGTGTTTGAATTATTGAATACAGAGAAATAGAATATAAAACTTACTATCAAAACATTTTTGATTGCTATAGAAGCTTTTGCTAAAATATCCTCTATTTTTGTCCTCAATTTGCGTTCTTTGTGATTTTCTTCTTCTAATTTCTGAACCATTTCTTCATACACATTATTGTCTCTTGTCGCTACTTGTAATTCAGTACTACAAAAACAAGAATGTTATGGTGAACATTTATGTTAATTGTTATAAGTAATCGTTACTTTTATAATACCTCAACAAATGCAAGCATGAGATAACAAAACATAGTATAACAAATTAAAACAAAAATATAAGTTGATAATGTGTTGTAGTAAGGGGATATCCATTTATTATGTTCACTGAGTATGGAATTTTTCTCCCCCCCCCCCCCCCCTCTCCCCTATCTACATGTGTTTACACTTTGGGATTCCATTCCCATAATTGTTTCGATACATTGTGTGCTGGTTTCTACACATTGCCCCATTCCTAATTTTTTATCTTTCCCACTAGATGGCAATGCTAATATTGTCAGGCCCCATTTTGCCTGTGATAGATTTTGTTAAGCAGCTGTTGATGAAAGTTTGAAACTTACTGTTACTAGGTCTGATAACTCTTCAAGACTCAGATCCATACAGTAGAACAAACCTAACATTAAGATACAGATTGTGTTGTGGAGGGACAGAACTCCAGATAATGAAAAGGGTATGGTAGGCATGCCTGGCTTTGTTTATGCAGTTTCTTATCTTCATCCCCCCTCTATTCCATTTTATGTGAAATGTTGATCAACTTTGGCAGAAATCCTGTAGTGGTGCTTCAGCCTCCAGATTATGTCTCTGTTGATGCTCCAAGTCCATACAAATCATGTAGAGGGGACTACCACCTGAAGGACTGTTGTCGATGATGTGTAACTTGTCAATGTGGTCACTACATGATTTAGCTGGCCTGAAACCTGCCTGTTATGATCTCAGTGTTTTGTCCAAGGCCACTTTTAACCTCCTCAGTATTTCCCTAGTCAAGGTCTTGCTGGTAACTAACAGTTACATGAATCTATGCCAGTTAAAGCATTAAAAAAAAATCACCATTCTTGGGTAGCTATAGGCCTACGATACATTCTAGTTTTTAGTTGGCTGGGGTTTGCTCCTTTTCACAAAGTTCATATTGAAGTAATAACCAGATTACCTTTAATATTATTAGTATCTTCCTATCAATAAATCAGATAGATATTTAAACTACAAATGTAAACATACCTGTACTTATCAACCTCTTGTTTCAATAATTCTATGTCAGATTCCACCTCTACATAGTTCTCTTCTTTTTTAGCATACTCTGCTATTGTTTCTTCCTGACTTTGACATTTTTCAGTCATAAACTTGATAATCTTTATAAACAAATGTAAAAAAAAAAAACTTCATTAGACTGCATTTTTAGCAGTTATATTTCAAACTAATAATACAAACTACTACTTTAAGAACTTGCAATTTTTGTTTAAATCATCTTTTAAAGAATTATTAGAAAATTAACTCTTTTAGACCTCAAACTAAATATATATGAATAGACCATATGGCGTAAAATTTAAATTTTAAATATGGTATATTGAACTTAAAATAAGCATAGATCAAATTTTATAGGACCTACAATGTAAACTTTCAATATAATTACTTAATTTAAAATATACATAGATCAAACAGAACAAAAAATGTATTCTTTAAGCTATGATAAGAATAGATCAAAATGCATAAAATCTAAATTTCAAACATAATCTAACCAAACAGGAAGTTTTAACAGGACACATTACAAACGTCAAACCTTCATATTGCTTTGGTTTTTCTTTCCAAGTTCTTTTTCATTAGCCTCCAGCAGTTCAACCTGCTGCTTGAGTTTCTTCACTTTCTCCTCCAGGCTATCATTCTCTTTGATCAACTCAATTGTCTTGTCAGACATCTTTGCCAGCTGGGATGTTATAGAGACATTCTCTCTAATTGTTCGTTTGGTTGTTTCTGCCATTTGTTTGTTACTGATTTTACGAAATTCTGCGGCCACCTGGTTCACTCGTAAAATCATTTCTTTTTTAAGTCTGGCATAGAAATTATAAAAATTGTCATGTTACATTTTTTATAAGAAAACAGAATTTAGTTTTTCATGCATAAAAATGAAAGCAGCAATAGAAAAAAGCTTAACCTTTATTAAATAAATAAAAAATTTACATTTCACAGTTGAAGATATTGATTTATTTTAAACTTCACAAAGATTAGCATTTAACTTAAGTTGAATAACATTATGAATATCAAAACTTTATTAGATGAAATGTATTCACATTGCAATATAGTCGACTTAAAAACAGAGGCAGTAAAGGGGAATGATGTTAAATTACCTGTCTTTATCTATGACTGCCTTCTTCTCTAATGCATACAGTAAAGGGGAATGATGTTGAATTACCTGTCTTTATCAATGACTGCCTTCTTCTCTAATGCATACAGTAAAGGGGAATGATGTTGAATTACCTGTCTTTATCAATGACTGCCTTCTTCTCTAATGCATACAGTAAAGGGGAATGATGTTAAATTACCTGTCTTTATCAATGACTGCCTTCTTCTCTAATGCATACAGTAAAGGGGAATGATGTTGAATTACCTGTCTTTATCAATGACTGCCTTCTTCTCTAATGCATACAATTTATCCTGGTACTCATCTTCCCGTCTTGACAGCTCAGCTTCCATCATAGCAAATTTGTTCATCAACTCTTCCTTTTGGAGCTTAAATTCTTCCAGTGAAGCAAGCTTACCTCCTATAAATTTCATGGCATAGATAACTAAGTTTTATTGAATTTTAATTATTTTGACTAAGTAGGCTATGCATTTGATAAATATGTTGAATATTTTAAACTATTGTCAATCACTAGAATTTGTGTATCCATAAAATCTATATCCTATCCTCCCTTCTTGACATTCTAAGGTGAAGGTCATTTGTCATACACATCAGGAAAACTTAATAGAACAATAAAGAAAACTTGTGGACTCTCATTTTATTCATATATCTAATTACTTGTATAGTCTTTAAAATCTAATACATTAATAACTTCATATAAATCATTCCAGTTATTACTTCCCTTTATTTGAAAGCTTTTTTTACTCACCAAGAATCATATTCTCAGCTGTAAGCTGATCTTTCATTTCTTGAAACTCTGTTCTCTGCTCCTGTATTTGCTTTTTGAAGGTTTCTCGTTCATTGTCTCGTAATTGTTGGAGGCCAATCAAACGTTCATTTAAATCAACTATTTCATCAGCTGGGAGATACAGACAAAATAAAAAATTTTAGGAGAGGCATCCAAACCTGTCTAAGTGAATTTGATTTACTAACCATCCCATTGATATAACATGGAAAGCTATTAATGATAAGGACTCTTGGGGTAGTTAGAATTTGATGTTAAAATTCTATTCTGATTCAATTATTTTAAGACTTATTTATCTCATGAGATTGTTCCCTGTACATACTAGATTTATAGACTTCAACATACTTGCCATCAAATCTTTGTTTTGTTTTTTAAAGAGGTTAAATTTTAATAATTTTAAAGAGAATAAAAGTGTTCAAGTCCTTAAGCCAACATTTAATTGTCAAATTATCAGTAGCTGCTATCACCAGTTACTAGTAACAAGCATAATAACCTTCAGTACAATTTTAATTTGATACACAGACACATTTATTATATAGGCTTACAAATTAATTAAACATATGTGCTTATTTTTGCTTTAAAGGTTTTTTTTTTTAATCTTAGCAATCAAATTGTTTCAAGGGGGTGGCATGGCCTGGTGGTAGAGCGCTAGACTACTAAGCTGAAAGTCACAAGTTTAAATCTGGGTTCAAGTCAGTAGAAGTCCCTGAGTCCACCCAGCACTGATGGGTACCAAACTCACATTAGGGAAAGTAAAGGCGGCTGGGCATAGTGCTGACCACACAATCTCTTCATAAGCCAAGGTCACAGAAACAGGTGAAATCCATTCACTAGCCCAATGGATACCATCGGGTTTGAAAAGGGAACTTTACTTAAACCATTTTAAAGACAAAATTTTTTTTACTAACTTTTAATCTCCACTTGTTTTTTCCAAAAAGAGACAATCTCCTTTTTGTCTGAGGACATCTGGTCATATTTTTCCTGGTACTGTCCATTGGCCACTTCCAGCTCATCACAGCGTTTTTGATATCTAAAAGATAACCAAATATATAAATTTTGTTCATCCAGCTAAAAAAAGATAACCAAATATATACATTTTGTTCATCCAGCTAAAAAAAGATAACCAAATATATAAATTGTGTTCATCATGCTAAAAAAAGATAACCAAATATATAAATTGTGTTCATCCAGCTAAAAAAAGATAACAAAATATATAAATTGTGTTCATCCAACTAAAAAAAATGATCAAGATTAAAGGTAGACTTTGTTATATTTAAATTCTTGTATTAAACTTAAAATGTTACAATTTTTATCTCGGAGCAACAGAAATATAAAAGAATATTTAACATCATTAAAATCTATGGCTGTAAAGGTTTTGGGAAAATAAAAAGGCTTTTCTTTTATCCACTATAACTATAACATAATCAAATTTCAACATTCAAACTGAAATTAAACTGAGTCATAATCATTTGATTTGCCCTTAAGAATTTAAGAATTGTGAACACCACATAACACAAAAAAGTAACATTTTCAATCATCAACAATGGCATAGGCAAAGGAGGGGGAGGGAGGGGGGGTGCATCAATATCTCCCCCCCCCCCCCCCCAAGAATCTTAATAAAGCATTTATATTTAGAACTTGGGTCACTTACATGCTTGTCATACCTCACATGTCATTACCGACTAGAACATTACCCCCTGTCATGCTACCCCCCCCCCATTGCAATACAAATTATAATCATACCTATCCCTATCCATCAGCAGAGGCGTAGCTAAGGGAGGGCGGGTGGGGCGGCCGCCTCGGGCGCCGACCTTAAGGGGGCGCCAAAAGGGGTAGAGATATTAATTTGAAAGCTCAGTTTAAGCTGAAGTATTGAAATATACACAAAGTTACGAAAATGAACGATTACAAGTCTCCACACACTGATTTAACAACTTTGTGACACCGAAATAGAAATTGTTACAGGATAGTAACTAGTAAGAAGCGCTACAAACCTTTCCAACTTGGGGGGGGGGGGGAGGGGGTCTTTTTCACAGACAGGAAAAACGATATATATAAATGGGGGGGGGCGCAAAATTGATAGTCCGCCCCGGGCGCCGGATTAGGTCGCTACGTCTCTGTCTATCAGTATATCCAGTATATCCAGCTTCCAATCCCAAAAAGCTATCCTTAACCCTAACACTATCTTATCCCTAAACAAATATCTTATCCTTAACCTATCCATATCTCTAAATGGTCGGGTGCAATAGACAGGGGGTAATGTACCACAGCCGTTTTACTTCACACCCCCCCCCCCCCCTCGTCTCGAAATTCCGACCCCCCTAGGAGAGCGACATTGTTAATAAAAGATCCTAGCATACAAGTATAAAAATTCAAATTGTATGCTTTTCATTTCATAAACACTACGTGTAAGACTACAATCATTTTAGCCAAGGTGACATAACCAAGCGAAATAACTTAGTGTGCTAATTTACAAATTCCCCATTCCCCGATAGAGAAAAACAAGTTAATTAAAAAGTCTAGTGACATTTAAGCGCAATTTCCTTATGTTATCTAAAAATAGCTCAGTCGTAGCGTAAATCAAGAGCAGGGTTAGTAAAACCATTGGTTAGTTATTAAAACGTTTTTATTAATTATTTTTTCAGTATTTTACATGTTTTATTTACAATAGAGTTACATGACTAAAAACCATTGCGCGCCTAGCTACTGAACGTGATGACGCAGCCATTGAACGTGATGGCGCAGCTATTGAACGTGATGACGCGTGTGGTGTGGTTGGAAAAACATGCCTACTAATTCGGTCCAAATTTTAACGAAAGGATATTTTTGAAAACTTTCTTCGGCAATATTGTTCTAAATTATGGCAGGAATCGATTGGTACATGTTTCAAGTCGCTAAGTGGTCTGGTTGCCGAGATATGGGCAAAAAACTGCATCATTTTTTCGAGGTTTTTTGGCTTTTTCGCGAAATCCATGAAAGAAACCCGGAATTTTTATGGCCTATGTTCATCCTCGTAACTTGCTTATCATAATTGCTTTTGTAACTAGTCATCGATATTGCTTCGTTGAGGAGGAGATACGACTTAAAGCCCGGACACACATTCATACATCCATTCATTCATCCATCCATACATTCCCAGAAATGACGAGTTAATAAACGCAATTCTCCAGAATGGAAATTGCGCTAAAAATGCTATACGATTGTTTTTGCAATGCCTTCATGTAAAAGATATCTTCTAACGCGTCACTAGCATTTAACTTTTTAAATATTTAACTTTTTAAAAGTTTAAAAAAACTTTAATCTTCAACAAACTCCAATCACGTCAAATGCTCCGACTTACTTCTTGACACGGATCTCGAGGTTTGTTATCGTCTTTAAATAAACCTCTTTTGATTCGGGCTCTACTTTGGGAGGTTTATGAAAGGGGTTTCCAATCGACTCTGGCGCGCCCTTGGACGAAGCGAGAGATCCTTTCTTGGAGTCGTTCGGTATGCTCATGGTGGTGTGTGTGTTGTCTACCGATGGTACTGTCGCATTGGGGCAGGAAACAAAGGGTTAACGGCACATTTTATTTTTATTTTAAAGTTTAAAGACTAAGAGAAGAGAGGTAAGGGGGGGGGGGGGGGGACGACGACAACAGTCTGGCTTCCATAAATGACGTCACACTCGTAGGGGGGAGGGGGGGGGGGTCCGTAATTTTGTGACGATGTGTGATGAGGGGGAGGGGGGGTCAGATGTTGCGACGTCACATTTTTGCATTATAAAAAAGCAATGTTAGAAAACGAATTTTAGACGTTATTTCGCGTTTTAGATAACTGTTTTAATAAATTGTAATAGTTTAGACAAGATTTTGGAAAAATATCAATGTTTTAAAAAAATTCAACTGCAATTTTGAGGGGAGTTGTAGGTTGAGGTGTGACGTCATTTTTGGGGGGGGGGGGGTCTGGCTTTTTGTGACGAAGAGTGACGGAGGGGAGGGGGGGAGGTAAAAATCGTCATAAAAAGCGTGACGTCATTTATGGATGACCCCATATTATGACACCCGGCGGGGGGCAAGCTGTGATATAGAAGACTGATATCAAGTCTATGATGGACTGCCTACGCCAAAAACACCATCTTCTTGAAGTGTTACGACTATGCTCGTCTTTTAAAACCATAAGACAGCTGCCTAAGTTCAATCACCCAAACAGAAACTCTAGTTCACCACACTGGCTTATGTCCTTCCTAAGACCAGCTATTCAAAGACCGGAAATAGTATTGGCTATTCTCGACAGGCACTTCTTCAGAGGCGCAGCTAGAGACCCGGGCGCCGACTTTAAGAGGGCGCCAAACTGGGTAGCAAAATAAAATATATAAAAAACAACTCATTTTTGAGCTGCATTACTGCATTATGCAAGGTCAAAGTTCGGGAAATAGTTGCTCTCTTGTGTGACGTACATCAATCATATGACCTCATGATGGGGGGGGGGGGGGGTTTTCACAAACTGTATTTTTATACCAGGAAGAGGGGTGGAAATTTAATAGTTCGCCCATGGCGCCTGATAGGGTCGCTACGCGTCTGCACTTCTTGTGCCACAAACCTAGGACCACCACAAACCTAGGGCCACCACAAACCTAGGGCCACCACAAACCTAGGGCCACCACAAACCTAGGGCCACCACAAACCTAGGACCACCACAAACCTAGGGCCGCCACAAACCTAGGGCCGCCACAAACCTAGGGCCACCACAAACCTAGGGCCACCACAAACCTAGGGCCACCACAAACCTAGGGCCACCACAAACCTAGGGCCGCCACCATGTTAGAGCCGCCACAAACCTAGGGCCGCCACAAACCTAGGACCACCACAAACCTTGGGCCGCCACAAACCTAGGGCCGCCACAAACCTAGGGCCACCACAAACCTAGGGCCACCACAAACCTAGGGCCACCACAAACCTAGGGCCACCACAAACCTAGGGCCGCCACCATGTTAGAGCCGCCACAAACCTAGGGCCGCCACAAACCTAGGGCCGCCACAAACCTACAGCCGCCACAAACCTAGGGCCACCACAAACATAGGACCACCACAAACCTAGGGCCGCCACAAACCTAGGGCCGCCACAAACCTACAGCCACCACAAACCTAGGGCCACCACAAACCTACAGCCGCCATAAATCTACGGCCACCACAAACCTAGGGCCACCACAAACCTAGGGTCACCACAAACCTAGGGCCACCACGAACCTACAGCCACAAACCTAGGGCCACCACAAACCTAGGGCCACCATGAACCTACAGCCACAAACCTAGGGCCACCAAAAACCAAGGGCCGCCACAAACCTAGGGCCACCACAAACCTAGGACCGCCACAAGCCTAGGGCCACCAACACAGCCACCACAAACCTAGGGCCGCCACAAACCTAGGGCCACCACAAACCTAGGGGCCACCACAAACCTAGAGCCGCCACAAACCTAGGGCCACCACAAACCTACAGCCACCACAAACCTAGGGCCGCCACAAACCTAGGGCCACCAACACAGCCACCACAAACCTAGGGCTACCACAAACCTAGGGCCACCACAAACCTAGGGGCCACCACAAACCTAGAGCCGCCACAAACATAGGGCCACCACAAACCTAGGGCCACCAACCTCGGGCCGCCACAAACCTAGGGCCGCCACAAACCTAGGGCCGCCACAAACCTAGGGCCGCCACAAACCTACAGCCACCACAAACCTAGGGCCACCACAAACCTACAGCCGCCATAAATCTACGGCCACCACAAACCTAGGGCCACCACAAACCTAGGGTCACCACAAACCTAGGGCCACCACGAACCTACAGCCACAAACCTAGGGCCACCACAAACCTAGGGCCACCATGAACCTACAGCCACAAACCTAGGGCCACCAAAAACCAAGGGCCGCCACAAACCTAGGGCCACCACAAACCTAGGACCACCACAAACCTAGGGCCGCCACAAACCTAGGGCCGCCACAAACCTAGGGCCACCACAAACCTAGGGCCACCACCATGTTAGAGCCGCC